ATGGGGGGGGCGCGGGGCGTGAGATCGCGCGGGTCGTCGCGGGGCGGCGGGGAGGGCAAAAGATGGGCCGCGCGTCGTGGTCGGCGCGCGGGGCTTTTTTTACGCGCGCGCACGCATGCGCGCGGAGGCGGCGGGCGGCGCGCGCGCGCACCTTGCGCGATGAGCGCCTCCACCTTGTCGATGTGCCCCCCGGCGCACGCCGCCGCGAGGGCCTCCGCCGCGTCGTTCGATACCGCCGACGACATGCCGGCCGTCCGTCGCGGTGTCGCGCGCAATGACCCCGGCGGAGCCCTCGGCCTCGGGAACCACGGACGGACGGACACGACGACTACTGCGGCGAGCGGTGTGCTGGAAATCAAGGAGGGCCGACGGTGCGGGAAATTTTTGGTTTTGGTTTTGGCGGCGGGGCCCCGGAGAGGAAAGACGCGCGGACGCGACGCGCAAATCGATCGCGTCTCGCCGCACGCCGCGCGACGATCGATGCGTGTTGTTTGTTAATAAAACGAATCACGAGCGAGCGAGCGCGTCGTCCGCCGCCGCCGGGACCCCTCTCCTTCCCTCCCGCCGCGACCCTCCGTAGCGTCGTCGCCGTCGTCGTCGTCGTCGTCGTCACGGCGAATCGTTCTCCGACAGTCTCCTCGCGACGGACGACGACGGCCGAGCGGTCGCCCCCATCTTGACGCCGCCCGGGTTCGAGATCCTGCTCGCGCGCGTCGCCTCCACCTCCTCGATCGAGACCGGGCGCAGCTGCGCGCGGGAGACCCGCACCGCCCCCGCGCCCGCGGGGGTCGCGGGCAGAGATCCACGCCCGCCGCCGCCGCCGCCGCCGCCGCCGCCGCCGCGGAACATGCTCGATAACTTGTCCGTGCGCACCGGCAACGGCGGAGACGCCATCGCCGGGAGCGCGTCGTCGTCGTGCACGTCCACGTTCGGCGGCGCGTTCCTCTGCGACCGCCGGTTCTCGCTCGAGAGCCGGTGGACTTGCTCCTGGAGCGACTGCGCCGCGCGGCCGCTGCTCTCCAGACGTTCCTCGAGCTTCGCCGCGGCTTCCTCCATCTCTTCCCTCTCCGCGAGGAGCGCCTTCACGCGTCGCTTCAGCTCTTTGTTCTGCGTCTTCATCGCGCCGTGCTCTTTCGTGAGCACCGCGACTTGCGTCTCGCGGAACTCCATCTGCGACCGGAGATCCGCGGCGGCGGCGGAGACGGGATCTGGATCCGACGGCGGCGTCGAAGCGTCCCCCGCGCTCCGCGGCGACGGCGCGGTGCCCGCCGCCGCGGTCGCGCCCGACCGCATCTCCGCAGCCTCTTTCATCGCCGCCGCGTTCGAGAGCTTCAACAGGTACGCCTCCTTCCGGCTGTGCTCGCGCTGCAGCTCCGTGACCCTGCGATCGTACTCCATCTCTTTCATCCGGAGACCAGACTCCATCTCTTCGATCGCGCTCTGCGCGTCCGACAACTGCATCTCGAGCTCCGCGGCTCTGGACTGACCGTCCCTCTCGTGAAGCTGCAGCGATACAACCTTATCGAGCGCGACGGATAACGCCGCGCGCGCTTCCGCGCTCCCCAGCTCGGCGACGGCGTCGCCGAACCGCGAGAGATCCGCCGCGCCGCCGCCGCCGCCGGGGGACCCCTTCTTCCGCGCCGCGCCCGGCCGCGCCGCCGCGTCGCGGTCTCGCAGCGCGTCCGCGAGCGACGCGGCGACGTACTCCGCCTCCGCGTCGAGGCCGTCGATGCGATCCTCGAGCTCGCGGAGCGCGCGCTCGTCCTCCTCGGGCAAAACCCGTCCGGATGCGATTTTCGATTCCAGCGACGCCGTCCGTGACGCCGCCGCTCGCCTGCGATCTCTCAATTCCTCCGCCCTGGCGAGTTCCGCGGGCGAGGCGGCGTCCCCGAGGCGCTCGATCGCGCCGAGGGCGTCGTCCAGCCCGTCGAGCACCGCGACGAGCTCGTCGTGGTCGCGCTCGAGCGACGCGGCGACGCGCTCTTTGCGCAGCTCCAACGCGTCGCGCTCTTTGATCGCGGCGTCTCGCTCGGCGGCGACGGCGACGCGCTTCGCCTCCGCGCGCTTCAACTCTTCCTCGCCCTCGCGCTGTTTTAGCGCGCGCGCGGTCTCGCGCTCGATGATCTCCGCGAGCTGCTTCACGTCGACCGCGACCGGCGCGGTGGGCGGGCGATCGCCAAAGCCGCCGACGCGCGACCCGCCGACGCCGACGCCGCGCGACTTGACGTGCTCGCCGTACGCGTGCGCGCGCTCGCGCGTGCTGAGCTTCCTCCCGCTCGCGGGGCGAGGGCTCGGCGACGGATCGTGTCCGTCGTCGTGCGCGTCGTCGCCGCCGCCGAGCAGCTGCAGCTTTCGCTGCGCGGCGGCGAGTTCGTCGGTTTTTTTCCGCAGCGCCATTCGGTGCCTCTCCTTGTCTCCCTCGAGTTCTTTGATGCGCTTCATCTGCGTCTCCGCGTTCCTCTTCAGCGCGCCAATCTCGCGCGTCTGCTCCTCCTGCGCCGCGTTGTTCGCCGCCTCGCGCTCTCTGAGCTTACGCTTCAGCGTCTCTTGCATCGATCGCATGCGTCCCACCTCGGTCTCGAGCTCTCTCACCTTGGCGACCGATTTCGTCTTCTCCTTTTCCGTCCTCAGCGCGTCCGACTCGGACTTTTGCACTTGAAGCTTCCTCAGCTGGCCTTGCACCCTGCGAACTTTCTCTTCGTACTGCTCGCGCATGCGGCGCTTCTCTTCCGCGCCCTTCGCGACGTTGCCGTCGATCTCCTCGAGCTCGACCCTGAGGCGTTCGATCTCGGCTTCTTTGCCAGCCTTTTCCTCCTCGAGCGCCCTCATGCGTTGCTCGTACCGGTGCGTCAAGCGCTTCGCCTCTTGCTCGTTCTTCTCCAGGTCTTTGATGAGCTCCTCTTTGTTCTCGATGTTCACGTTCAACTCGCGAAGTTGTCGCTCTAACGTCTTCTTTTCCGCCATGTACAGACGCGCGCGGTGGTTCGCTTCTCGTTCGACTTTCTTCTTCTCGCGTTCGATGACCGTCTTCTCGTCCAACAGCGCTTCGCGTTTCTCCGCGCGTTCGGTGTCGTTCACGTGCGCGTCGTCGTCGAGCTCGAAGACCGCCGCCGCCGCCGCCGCCGCGTTCGCGTTCGCGTTCGCGCCCGCGAGCAACGGCGTCGCGGGGAGGCTGCCGGTCGCGGGCGCGGGGGGCAGCCCCGGCGGCGGCGTCTTCGCGCCGCCGCCGCCGCCCGCCGCGAGCGCCGCCGCGAGCTCCTCCTTGTGCCTGCGCTCCTGCTCCGCGCGCTCCGCGGACGCCTCCCTCGCCGCGCGTCGAAGCTGCTTGATCTCTTTCATCTTCTCCGCGAAGATCGCCTCGTCTCTTTCCAAGTCTTCTCTCGCTTCGGTCAACTTGGCGTCCTTCTCGTTGACTTCGCCCTCCTTGGTCGCGAGCTGTTCTTTCAAGTCTCGCAACTGTCGGAGGTACCCCTCGATGACGCCCTTCCCCGGTGAACTCGGCGTATTCGCCGCGCCGCCGTCCAAACTGTCGTTCAAGTGGTCCGTCTCCGGGGCCTCGCCGCCGGTGATGAGGTGACGCGCGGACGGCGACGCGAGCGCGGCGGCGGCGGCGGCGGCGGTCCGCGTCGCTCGGCGACGGCAGCGCGCGTCCGCGTCTCCTCGCCACCGCCTCCGCGCGCGAGGACTCCGGCGCGGCGGCGACGAACCTCGCGAACGCAGCCTGGCTCACCTCGCCGACGTTCGCGAGCTCGCCCGCGAGTACGAGCGTTCCCGCGATCGCGCCCTCGAGCTGCTCGACTTTGATGCACGCGACGTCTCTTTCCGCGCGCGCGCGCATCGCGTCCTCTTCCGCGGCTTCCACCGCGGCGGTGACCTTCGCGAGGACGGATTTCGTGCGCGCGAGCTCCTTCTCCGCGCCCTCCGCGGCGTCCCTCAGCGCGTTCACGCCGTGCTCGTCCAGGCCGGCGATGACGACGCCCGCGCCGGGGCCGAGGCCGCTCGCGCCCGTCGCGCCGCCGCCGCCGCCCGCGCCGTCCGCGCGCGTCGCCGCCAGCTGCGCCGTCGCGGGGTCCCTGTTCACGATCACCTTGTTCCGAATGTTCCTCGCGCGCGCGGCGTACTTCAGCGTGCTTAACGTCTCCTCCAAGTTTTGATCCGCGGTCGACACGCACGCGATCATGCACGTCCGCGAGTTTCCCCCCAACGAGTCTTGAAGCAATCGCGTGAGTTTACTCTCTCGGTACGGCACGTGCACGTGCGTCTTCGGCGGCGGCGCCTCCCCTCGCGCGGTCGCCAACGTCCTCTGCTCCTCCCCCGCGAGCGCGCTGATGACGTTCCCGAGCGCGAGCAGCCCGCTGTTGATGTTTATGCTCTCCTTGAACCGCGCGCCGATGGCGCGCGTGCGCTTGTTTCTCTCCGAACCCGCCAAGTCGACGAGGTGGAACTTCGCGCTGCTGTACGCGCCTCGGTTCGCGCGCATGCGCTCTCGCGTCAGGTGCCGCTGCTCCAGGATGATCGTGAATATCGCGTGCGAGCGCGACGATCCGGCGTTCATGCTCGTCGCGCCCGTCGTCCGCGCGACGGAGCCGTTCTCCAGCAGACGCAGCATGTCGTCGTACGATCGCGTCCGCTCTTCGCGAATGCCGCTCACGACGATGGCGCCGTCCGCGCGCTCTCGTATCGAGATCCCCTTCGTCGGCGTGTCCGGATGCAGCAAGTCTCGCACTTCTTCGTTGTGGACCTCTAAGAAGGCGCATCGCACGACGCACTCCGATTGGCCTCTGAGTTTCTCCGCGCCCGCGAAGACGTCGGAGATGACGCGAGGGATGATGCCCACCTCGTCCTCCGTGAGCGCGTTGGACGCGGAGGAGCCCATGGTGTACGTCTTCCCGCTGCCCGTTTGTCCGTACGCGAAAACGGTCGCGTTGTAGCCGTTAAAGCACGACTCCACGAGCGGCGACACGAGGTTTTCGTACACCGAGCACTGCTCCGCGTCCGGGTGGTACACCTCGTCGAAGTGGAACCGTCGGTTCTTCCCGAGGACGACCGTCTTGCCGTCGGGCGGGTACGAGAGGCACTCCCTCGCGCGCTCGAGGCGCTCTTTCGCGACGAGCGGGCGCGCGCGCACGGCGACGCGCACGGCGAGGTCCTCCCCGGGGTCCGCGTCGGCGGACGGCGTCTCCGTCGTGGTCGTGGTCGTGGTCGTCGTCGTCGTCGTGGTCGTCGTCGCGTCGGAGGGCGCGGACGACGCGCGGATCTGGATCTCGCGCTCGCGCCGCGCGGCGTGCCCGTCGCCTCCCGCGTGCGCGTCCGGCGCGACGGGGAGGCCGCCGTCGACGGCGTCCAACCCGCGCGGATCCGCCCACGACGCGTCCGCGCCCATGCCGCCCGTCGTGTTCGGGCCGCGCGCGCGTGGATGCGACGCGCGGGTATCGTTGACCCTGGGCCTGGTTTTTGAACTTTTTGGTCGCGGCGGCGAGCGCACTACGGAAGTACGCCGCGAAAACGTACTCTGACTGTTTGCATGTGCGTCCGTACGCGCCCGCGGTCGTCGCGACGAGGTGCCGAAATTCCTCCTTCGCGTCTCTTCCCCGCCCCGTCGACACTTCGCGCGTCGCGACGACCACGGCGCCGACCATGGAGTCGTTCGACGTGCACGACATCGACGATCTCGCGTCGTACGTCCCAGCCGGCGCGGACGCCAACGTCGGCGCCGCCGCCGCGGGCGCGGGCGCGGACGCGACGCACGCGTCCAGGCTGTCGCCGTCGTTCCTGCGCGCGGTCCACGACGCCATCGCGAGCGAGCTCGCGGAGGAGGGCGTCCCGATCGCGCTCTTCTACGCGCTCTTCACGTGTTTGCTCGCGCTCCTCGTGACGATCGCCGTCAACGCGCTGTTCGGGCGGTTCCTCTTCGGGAAGACCGCCGGCGAGACCGCCGCCGCGTCCGCGGCGACGTCCAAGCCCGGGAGCGGCGACGCGGTCCTCCTCGCCGGCGCGTGCGGCGCGGGGAAGACGTCGCTGCTCATGGCGCTGAGAGGGAGCGCCTCGACGCTCGGCACCGTGACGTCGATGGACGTCAACGACGCGAGCGTGACCGTGGAGGACGCGCGCGGGAAGAAGACAAAGAGCGGGAGCGCGGCGACGACGACGAAGCGCGCGCGCGTGGTCGACCTCCCGGGGCACCCGCGGCTGCGCGCGAAGATCGACGCGCACGCGAGTCGCGCGCGCGGCGTCGTCTTCGTCCTGGACGCGGTGGACTTCGCGGCGAACCGCGGCGAAGTCGCGGAGCGCCTGCACGCGCTGCTCGCGGACCCCGCGATTCGCAAGAGGCGCGTCCCGTTCCTCGTCGCGTGCAACAAGTCGGAGAAGATCGCCGCGCACCCGGTGGACTTCGTGCGGAAGCGGCTGGAGAAGGAGATCGAGACGCTGGTGCGTTCTATCTTACACTGGTTCCCATACGATCGCGTCGGCGTGGTGAACGCCGTTTCTTAAGGACTTTTCCCTGCGCATCTCTCCGCTCATCCCTCGCTTTCAATACCCGCCCTCGACGCCTTTCAACTCCATCTGACGCCTTTGAACTCCACCCCGACAGCGAGGCGCGAGCGACGGGCTGGAGGACACCGGCGACGCCTCCGGGGGGGGGCCTAAGCGCGCGGCGCCCATAGGGATCGAGGGAAAGGCGTTCGAGTTCGAGCACCTGAGGAAGAGCACCGCGGTGGACGTCGTCGCGATCAGCGTGCACGACGGGGACGTAGAGGCGGTCAAGGACTTCATCGCGCGAGTGGCGTGATGAGCGAGACGACGAGCGTGATTCTAAGTTGTGGTTTTTTTTTTCAATCGAAAAACGCGCCCCGTCGCCGAGCCGTCGCCCGCGGACCGGACACGTCCTCCGTTTTCTATCGTACTAGTACAGACGACACGTCTCCTCCTCTCCTCCTCGCGTCGCGTCGTGTCCTCGCTCAGATGAGGTACACTATTTAATGTATCCTTCTCCACTCTTCTCTTCGCGTCCATCGCGTCACGCGCCCGTCGCTCTCAGGTAATACACGAACGGCGTCGAAACCTTGTCGCACGATATGAGAAGCTTCGCCGTCTTCGGCGCGTCGTCGCCCGGCGTAAACTTCACCGCGATCTCCTTCTCCGTCTTGGCCGCGATCGTCTCCGTCCGCGCCACCTCGAACGCGGGGTTATCCGACGTGATCGTGAACTCGCACTCGGTCGCGAAGACGTTTTTAAACGTAACCGCCCCCGCGCCGCCCCGCACGTCGATCGGCCCGCGCGGCTTCGGCGGCGTGCACCGTCCCACCACCGGGCAGACGTACTCTCCCGCGTCCGCGGACACGACGCGCATCGTCGCCTTGACGCCGCCGCCGACGCGCTCGGGCTCGAACGTCACCTCCACCTCCGCCTCCATGCCGTCGTCCCCGGCGGGGTGCGCGGCGACGGCGGCTGGGCAGGAGAACTCCGTCGCCGTGTCGGGCGTCGTGAACGAGACGTCGTAGTCCGCCTTTTCGTGGTGAAAGTGCGTAAACTTGAACGCCTTGGTCTCTCTCTCGCCGAGCGGGACGCTGAACGTCAGCCCGCGCTCCGGCGGCGGCGGCGACGACGACAGCACGAGCGTGTACGCGAACGTCCCGAGCTCGTCGCACGTCAACGTGAGCGGAACCTCCAAATTCTTCTCTACGACGAGCGGTCGGTAGTTGACGTTGAACGTCGCCTTGCTCCTCGGCTCGATCGTGATCGACGGATCTGTCGTCGCCGTGCGGGACTCGCACGACGCCGCGAGCGTGACCGCGACGTCGAGCGGGTTGTGCAGCGTGATCCCCGCGCTCGCGCGCATTCGGACCGTGCTGTTGATGTCCACGACGCGAACGACGTCCGCGGGCGTCGACGTCACCGACACGTCGTAAAACGCGTACTCCGTCGTCTCATCGTTCGTGAACGTCACCTTCGCCCTCGTCGTGCCCTCCTTGTGCGAGTAAAACCCGAGCTTGTACTCGCGCGTCGCGCCGCCGGGAACGTCGAGGTAGTCCGGCCCTCTGAGCGTCGTGGACGGGTCCGGCGCGCCGTCGATCTCCACCGTCGCCCTGAACCGCTGCCGCCGAGGGAGCCAGTTGCGCACCGAGAGCGACACCGCGCCGGGCGACTTCGCCTTCACCTCCGCGCTCGCGCTGCCGCTCGGCTCCGGCGCGTCCGCGACTCCCTCGAGCGCGTGCGCCTGAACGGTGCCGTCCGGCAGCGCGATCGACAGCGTCGCGTGGTGCGCGGCGTCCTCCGTGGACATCGCCAGCGGCGCGTAGACGACGTCGTACGTCGCGTCGCCGCCGGCGGGGACGACGATCACCTCCGACCCTCGCCAGTGCTCGCACGCGCCGCCGGTTCGATCCCCGCCGCCCTCCGTCTCCGTCGTCGCCGTCGTGAACGTCGGAGAGAGGGTCCACGGCGTGTCCGTCGGGTTCGTCACCGAGATGGATTGCGTCGCCTCGCTTCGGACGTTGACGCGGAAGGAGAGTTTATTCTCATCCGACGTCTCCGCCTCGGCGCACGCGCCGGTGAGCGTCATCGACAGGTCTTCGCCGCCGTCGACGACGCACGGGATCTTCTCCGCTCGGATATCGTCCGAGAGTTCCGCGGGGTGGAACGTGATCTCGATCTTCGCGTTCGTGTCCGGCGCGACGACGCCCGTGTGCGGGAAGATCGTGAAGTCTCTCGTGAACCTCGACCGGTCGAACGTAAACTTCGTCGGGACGTCGCCGGTGTTTTGCAGCTGCACGCGCCTCGTGGACGCGGCGCCGAGCGTGCACGTGCCGAACGCGACCGTCTCCGTCGTGAGCTTGAGCTCCGTGCCGAGGCACGCGCCGGAGAGCGAGCACACGACCCTGGGGACGCCCTCGACGATCACCTTGACCTCCTCCGTAAACTCGCGCTGACGCCTCGCGGGCGCGTACGTCAAGGACACCCCGCCGACGCCCCCGCGAGGGATCACGATCGCCCCCGCGTCCTTCTTCGTCGCCGGCGTCACGCCGTGCTGCTCGAGCGCCTCGACGCACGCGTCGTCCAAACGAATCGTCGCGGGGAGGCGCGATCGGTTGACAAACTTGAACTCGCGCGTCGCCGACTGCGTCGCGCGCAGGCGCCCAAACGGGACGTCCCCGGAGACGGGGCGATCGATCATCTCCACCCTGAGCGGGACGCCCTCGCCCTTGACGGACACGTTCACGACGTACAGGCCGTTCACCTGGAACGGCACGACGGTCGAGTACCGCTCGGCCGCGTCGGGGGTGAACGTCAGCGGCACCTTGGCCTCCGCGCCGGGCTGCAAGCTCGCGGGGGAGTCGCCCACCGCGAGCCACGGCGAGGAGGCGTGGTCGAACAAGCAGTCAATCTCGTACGGCTCCTTGTCGTTGTTCTTCACGACGAGGTCGTGCACGAGCGGGGTCATTCCCGGCTTGTGCACGAACGCGGCGCCAAAGTCGTGCGCGTGGCACGAAAACTGCAGCTTCGGTCGATGTCCGACGGCGTTCAAGGCGAGCGCGTACCTTCTGCCGTTCACGATGGCGCACGTCACGGGATAGTCCACCAACGACGCGACGCCGTTCGACGCGTACTCCAGCTGGCACGTCAGCCGCTCGCCCTTGCCGACGGTCGCCGTGGGCGGGGTGATCGTCACCCTCGGGTTCGGGCCCGCGTCCCAGGCGAAATCGTACGAAATCTCCCCTCTGTTCACGAACGTGATCTCCCGCAGCACCCTCTCGTTCACGAGCACTTGCCCCAAGTCGAGCGCGTTCTTCCCGGGCGCGGGCGCGAGCGTCGTCGTGTTCACGCCGCCGACCGCGGGGACGTCGAGCTCCACGATCTCGTGGATCGCGTAGCCCTCGCCCTTGACGTTCAACGTCAGCCGCGTCGGCTTTTTGTGCACGACGGCGGCGACGTTGAAATTCAGCGCCTTCTCCAGCCCGGGTTGGAACGTGATCGAGACGGGCACGGACGTGTGCGGCGCGATGACCCCGGTGTCGGGTTCAAACCTCAGCGCGGGTCGTTTCGGCCTCTCCCCGACGAACCCGGGGAGAGGTATCTCGTACGTGGACTTATCCAGCGTGAACCCGAACGGGATGTGCTCGTTGTTGTGCAGATACACCGTCTCGACAACCTTGGACCCCACGAGCGTCTTTCCAAAGTTGATCGTGGAGACGTCGAACGCGACGGACGGCTCGACGACGTTCCCGACGAGGCAGAACGGCACCTTGATCCCTCTCGTCTCGATCGTAAAGTCGAAGAAGCTCTCCGCGAGGTCCTCCGTCGTCGGCGTGTACTCAAAGACCATCTCGTATTTTTTCCCGGGCGCGATGGTCCCGCCCGACGTGAGGCATCGAAACGCCGACTTGGGCGCCGCGGGGCCGGAGGACACCGCGTCCCACTTGAACTCGTACGCGACGGACGTCGGGTTCAGAACCATGAACCGACGCGTGTTCTTGACCCTCGTCCCGAGCGATTCAAACTCGAGGACTTTCGTCATCGGGTCTAACGGCCCGGTGTCGCCGCCGGGGCCGGGAAGGCCTACGGCGCGTCGACCGGACGACAGGTACGAGCTCTCCGCGAGCTCAAAGTGGCACCACGGCCGCAACACCTTCCCGTTCAGAGGCACGGAGAGCGGCGTCATCCCTTCGCCGAGGTTCGTGTTCGGGAACGCGCAGACGAGCTGACGCGCGCACGGCATGACCTCGGTCGGGGAGAACCGCACGGTGATCGTCGCCGTCTCGCCGGCGTCGACGTACCCGCTCGCCGGTCGAATCTCAAACGGGCCGTCGTCGATCTCGCCGCCGCCGGGCTCTTGCACCTGGAAGTCGTAATCCAGGCGCGCGGTGGACGCGTTCTTCAGCGGGAACGAGAACGTCCGCGTCTGGAACATCATCGTCGGCCGGAACGCGATCGGTTTCACGTCGCACTCGAACCGCGCGTCGTCCGCGATCGCGAAGGTTCGCAACGTCGTCGTCTTCGGCGTCTCGCCCTCCGCGAGGGTCGAGACGTGGTGCGGCTCCGGCGCGGGCTGCGCGACGGTTCGCGTCTGAACCGGCGCCGGCGCCGGCGCGCCATCTTCGCCGCCCTCGACGGGCGGCGCCAGCGGCGGCGCGTCCTCCGCGCCCTCCTCCGATTCGACCGGGACCTCGACGTCGACCGTCTTCGAGTCGTCCCAATCGATCGCGGGCGCGGGCGTCGGCGGCGGCGGCGCCTCGCGCTCCGCCGCCTCCGGCGCGGGCTCGACGTACTCGATCGGCGTGAGCGTCAACCCCAGGTCTAGCGCGTCGTGCTTGACCGCCTCCTTCGGGGTGAACGTCACCTCGATCGCTTTCGAAGCGCCGACGTGCAGGTGCCCGACGCGAGGTTTAAACGTGAAATCCGGCGGGTTCTCCGCGTCCTCCTCCGGCCACTCGAATCGGACGTGCTTCTTCGCGACGTTCTTGATATAAAACGTCACCGACCGCGCGTCGCCGATCGGACCGTCGTCGAACCTGAGCTCGTCGTCTAAACCCTCGGGCAGGCCGACGAAGACGATCTCTTCTTCGTACCCGACGCCGGCGACGGAGATGGTCTGCGACGCGAAGTCGTTGTCCTTGACGTTTAATCGCAGCGAACACTCGCGCTCCCCCGCGGCGTCCCCGGCGCTGAACGTGACCCTCACGACGTGCGCCTTGCCCGGCGCGAGCGTGACCGTCTGCCCAACCCCGAGCGCTTTGAAGTGCTCGGAGAACGGCATGTCAAGCCGGCACGTCGCGGGGACGACGCCGTTGTTTCGAACGATGATCGGCTTCGTGATCGACTTGCCGAGCAAAAGACGCGGGAACGCCAGCCGCGGCTTGCCGTCATCGGACAACGCGCTCGGCTCCTCCACGGAGACGTGCGGGAGCGTGCCGTCGCCTCTGACTTCGCAGCTGAACTGCTTCGTCTTCGGGTCGCCGCCCTCGCGCACGATCGCGTCGAACGTCGCGGCGTACGTGGTCATCTCCTGAGGGAGGAAACGCGCGCGGATGTACCGGTGCTCGTGCGGGGGGATTTCCAACGTCTCGGGGGAGATCGTGATCGGAAACGTCGACCCCTCCGGGGTCGCGTCGTCGCCTCTCGGCTTGACCGTGAAGTCGACCGTGCACTGTACCTTGTTCGGGTTGGACATCTTGAAGCTCGCGACGACGCCGCCGCGTTTGGTGAACTCGGCGTCCGTCTCCGGCGGCCTCTCCGGGTCATCGCCGCCCTCGGGGGGTTCCGCCGCGGCGCGCGCGATGACCGCGCCGAAGGAGAACACCTTGTCCCTCTTCGCGAACACGCACCCCTCCGGCGAGAACGGATCGAGCGCGGAGACGATCTTATGCTCCTCGAAGATGTTCCCGACGTCCTCGCAGTCGATGCCCGGGATGCAGCTCTCGCCCGCGATCTCGTACGGAATCCCGAGCGGCTGATCGGAGGGGTCTCTGTCCGTGACGTCGATCCCCGCGAGCTCGGTGAACTTCCGGTCGTTCTCCGCGGCGAACACGACGGTGATCGTGACGTTCTCCCCGGGATCGATCGTCCCCGTCGGCGGCGTCACCGTGAACGCGCCGAGCTCGAGGCTCTCGCCCTCCGTCTTCGGCGGCGGGCCCGGTTTCTTCGGGTTGCCGTCCTCGTCCAACTCGGGCTCCTCGCCCTCCGCGAGCGTGCCCGCGGCGCCGTAGTTGAACAGGTTAAAGTCAAAGGGGAACTCGCCGACGTTGGCCACCTCGAACGTCTTGGGCTCCGACGTCGTGTTGTACAGCAGCGGGCCAAAGTTCACGCCCTTGAGCGGGGTGATCTGGTACTTGGTAAACGCCGCGCGCAGCGACACGCGAATCGGGACGCGGTCGCGCTTCGCCCCCGTCACCGGCTCGGAGATCATCAGCCCGACGTCCGCGTTGTTCACGAGCGTCACCTCGCGGTCCAGGAGTTTGTTCGCGTTGAACTTGACGATAATCTCCGCGGACTCCCCGGGCTCGACGTCGCCTTCGCCGGGTTCGAGCGTCAGCATCGCCGCGGTCTTCGCGTTTCGAACGTCAAAGGCGTAACGCACCGCGTACTTGCCCGCGTTTGCAAACGAAAACGTCCTCTCCGCCTCCTCCGTCGCCTTCACCAGCCCAAAGTCGATCCCGGACGCGTCCTCCTCCTCGCCCGGGTACTTGACGTCGATGTCGATCGTGAACGCCTCCGCGGTGAGCTTCATCGGGTGCGACCTCGCCGCGGGGAGGAGCGACTTCTCGTCGAACACGTCCAGCGTGAACGCGAGCTCCGCCTCCTTCGGTTCCTCCGAGCTGAACGACATCTTCACGAGCGTCTCGCCGAGCGCCGGCAGCACGCCCTCCGTCTCGGAGATGACAAAGTCCGGCCTCGGCGGCGGGGGGGGCTCCGGCGCCGCGGCCGCGTCCGCCGCGGGCGCCTCGCCCTCCGCGGGCGGCTCCGCGGGCGGCTCCGGCTCCGCGGGCGGCTCCGGCTCCTCCGGGGTTTCAACCTCGGGAAGGTTGAGCTTCCACCGCACGGGGAGCAACGTCGGGTTCTTAATCACGAGCGTCTTCGTCTCCTTCGTGCCGCACAGCAAGCGCTCGAACTCGACGAGGAGCTCCTCCGGCTCCGCGTCGAGGTCCTCTTCGGGCGCCGGCTCGGGCGCCGGCTCGGGCTCGGGCTCCGCGGGCGGCGCGCCCTCCTCTCCCTCCGCCGCGTCGGCGGCGGGTTCGCGCGTCTTCTCTGGCGGCGCGGCGGGCGCGGCGTCCTCCTCGTCCGCCTTGATCGCCAGCTTCACGCGGGGCTTCACGCCGACGCACGACACCGGGAACTCGAACGGCGTCGGGTTGTCCACCACGGTGGCGACGACGCGCGCTTCGCGGAGGCCAACCTCGCGCGCGGTGGCGACGACGACGAGCTCGCGCGTCTCGTCCACCGCGAGCGTCGCGCGCTTCGGGGACACCGTAAAGGTGGGCTTCTTCTCGTCCTCCGCGCCCGTCTCTTCGCCGGGCGCGGGGACGCCCTCTTCGTCCACGGTGAAGTCCACGGTGAGGTCGAAGAGGCCGTTGTTCGTGATACGAAACTTCTCGACGTTTTGCTCCGGGTCTCGCTCCTCCGCCGGCGGCTCCGCGGGAGGCGCGTCGTCGCCCTCCGCGGGCGGCGCGTCGTCGCCCTCCTCGGCCACCGGCGCCGTCGACGCCCCCGCGGGCGCGGGTACGACCACCTTCGGGCGGTCGCACAGCAGCGGGCCGAACTCGTACTTCCCCGGGATTGTCGGGTCTTTGGAGATGACGAACGTCTTGCGCACGTCCGGCGAGGACGGTCGGACTTTCGTCTTTTTGTAGTAGACGTTGCGGTAGTTGTCCGAAATTTTCGGGTAGTCGCACGCGCCGCTGGCGCCGAGCTCGACGCCCCGCTTCCCGCCGACAACCTCGAACCCGATCTCCTCGAAGAAGTTCCCGCAGTCCTCGGACGTGAACCGGATCACGACCTGCACCGCGTTCCCCGCGGGGATGATCCATCGCGACTTTTTTTCCATCACGACCTCCGGCTCCTCCTCCTCCTCCGCCGCCGCCGCGTCCGTCTCGGTCGCGTCTCCGTCGGCGGCGGGCTCCGCGTCCGTCTCGGCCGGCGCGTCCGCGGGCGGCGCGCCCTCGCCGTCCGCCTCTCCGGCGTCGGCGTCGGCGTCGGCGTCGGCGGCGTCTTCCTCCTCCTCGGGCCCGAGACCCGGCCAGCGCGGCTGAATCGCCGGCGTGAGAATCTCAAAGTGCGTCACCGCCCTTCTCGGGAACCGATCCGCCGGACGCTCCACCACCTCGTACAACTCCGGCGGCGGGACCCACTCGGGCGGGTGCGGCGGCATCGGCAGCGCGCACGATTCCATCCCGAGCTCCACGACCGCGTCGAGCGTGAACTCCGCGAGGTCGTTCGTGTCCACGACGCACACGATCGCGTGGTTATCCGGCGCGCCGGGCTTGCCGAACAGCGGAAGAATTTCCGTCATCAGGACGCGGTGCGCCTCCGCCTCCGCGGCTTTCGCGTACTCGTACGGCTCCTCCGGTGACTCGGCGGGTTCCGCCTCGGCGTCCGCCTCGGCGTCGGCGTTGGCGTCGGCATCTCCCTCCGCGGGCGGTTCGGCCTCGGCGGGAGGCGCCTCGGCCTCGGGCGCGGGCGCTTCGTCCGCGTCGGCGGCTGCGTCCGCGTCGGCGGCTTCCGCGTCCGCGGCCGCCTTCTCGCGCTTCCCCGCCACCTCGTCACTCACGTCGAGGGAGATGACCGTCAGTCGCTTGAGTCCGTCGCCCTTGAGCACGAACACGCCCTCCTCCATCTCCGGAGGCGTCCAGTCCTCTGGCGCGTCCTCCGGCTTCTCCGGCGGCGCGGCGTCCACCATGGCGAAGCCGAAGGCGGCGGCGAGCGCGGCGGCGACCGTCGCGGGCGCCGCCTTGCTGGACGCGACGCCGTCGACGAGGAAGCCTGACTCGGAGTACCGCGCCGCGATCTCAGCCTGGAGGACGGCCGTCAGCGTCGCCGACTTGAGTAAGCCGTCGCTCGGTTCCTCCTTCTCCTCCTCCTCCTCCTCCGCCGTCGTCGTCTCCGCCGCGTCGCCGTCGCCGTTCTCCGCGGGCGCGGGCGGCGTCGTCGTCGTCTCCTCGACGACGACGTCGCCCTCGAGGACGAGCGGCGCGAGACCGAGTTCTTTCCTCACCGCGTCGCCGACGGCGCCGAACGCCTCGGCCGCGGCGTCGACGCACTCGTCGACGTTCAAGACGGGCACGAAATATTTCGCGGCGAACGCCTCCGTCGCGCACGGCGACGCGAAGGGCGCGGACGTCAGGAGGATGTTGTGCGTCCCGTCCGCGTCGAGAAGCGGCGGGGCGGCGTCCTCGGGGGAGCCCTCGCCCTCCTCGGGGGATTCGAGCTCGCCGACTTCGCCGCCTACCTCTTCCGTCGCGGGAGGCGGCGCGTCCTCGCCGGCTTCCGCGGCGGCGGCGGCTTCCTCCGCCTCGCGTCGCTTCGCGTCCGCCTCGAGAATGTGCGGCCAGAGGCCCTCGCCAGCCTCGCGCGTGGGCAGCAACAACCGCGCGCCCTCTTTGCCTTCCTCGAGCCCCTCCGCGTGTCTCAGCGCGTCCTCGTCCGCGAGATGCCGCGCGTCGAAATCCGGACAAAACACCTCCACGTCCTCCTCGCCTTCGTTGACGAGCCACACCGTCTTCTCCCGCACCACTGGCGCGGACAGCTGCGGCTCCTCGTCCTCGGGCATGTCCTCCGGCCTCGGTCGCGCCGCGAGCGCCGCGATGGCAGCCTGCGGGAGCACGGACCCCAGGTCGAGCTCGGGCGGGTCGCACCGCACGCCGAGCGCGTGGCCGGCGCCGACGCACCGCACGATTACGTTTTTCGGGTTGTGCGAAACCTTAATCGCCGCGTGATAGTTCCACCCTCTCGGGGGGACCCAGTCCGGGGCGAACTTGCACTTGATCGTGACGCGCTCCCCGGGCTCGAGCCGCCCGCGCGCGGGCGCGAACTTGAACGGCGGCGGCGGGTCTCGAACTTGCCCGTACGCCACCTGCTGCCGCGGCGGGCGCTTCACCCCCCAATCGCACGCGACGATCTTCTCGTTCACGAGCTGAAAGTACATAACCTTGGCGTGCCCGACCCTCACGTCGCCGAAATCGAGCGTCTCCTCGGACGGCGTCACGTCCGGGACGGTCACGGTCGCCTTCAGCGTCACCATCGCTCGCGGCGCGCCCTTGACGTAGACGGGCACCTCCACCTTCAGCTCCCCCTCGACGACGTGCTCGAGGTTCGTGTCGAGCGTCAGCGAAACGTCGGTGAAACTGTACCACGGACCGCCCGTGAGTTTTGGCATCTTCCGCGGCGCGACGGAGAACCCGCCGGCGTCGAGCTCGTTTTGGTCCCACCCGAAGCTCATGCTCTGCTCGCTGACGTTCTGCACGCGCACGCGCTTGTGCAGCACCGCTCCCTTGGTGACGTCGCCGAAATCCCAGACGTATCGCGCCGCGACGACGGGGACGCGCGCGCCGTAGTTCCACGTCTTGGACGATATACCAACCGGCGGCGCGGTGATGGCGACCATCGCCGCGTCCGCTCTGCGCTGCGACGCGAGCGTGCTGGGCCGCGCGCTCGCGCTCGGCGCGCGCGACCGCGGCGGGAGCGAGCTCGGGCGCGACCCTCTCGGCGGGCCGGGGCTGAGACCCAGGCCCGGCGACCGAGGCGGCTGGGGCGGAGAAGACGACGACTCCGCGGGAATCTCGCCGCGTTCGATCGCCGCGGCGCGCTCCGCGTCGGCGTCTCTGCGATCCTTCTCTCGGCGCAGAAGCTCCGCTTTCAGACGCAGTCGGTCCGCCTCGTACGCGATCTCCGCGTCCGTGGGGTGGTACTTCCCGTCGTCCGCGATCTCGCGCTCGTCGACGGAACCCGCGGCGAAGCCGTCGCCGCCATCCCCGACGCTCGACGCCCCGTCCTCGCCCCGTCCTCGCGCCGTCGCGCCGTCGTACAGCATCCGCGTGTTCCACGTCTCTCGCATCATGTCCGGGGTGAGGCCGCGGTTCGTCGGCAGCGTGATCGGCCGCCAGTTCGACGGCCGCCAGTGTTTCGGCTTCTTCGGCCGGTCGCCGCGCGTCTTTCGCAACATCTCGTGCTCGATGCTGCCGTAGCCAGTCTCGTACCCGTACCCGCCGTCCGCGACGTTCGCGCTCCCGGGGCGCCACTCGTTGTGCGTGTTCGATCGTAACGCGTGGAGGCCCGTCAGCGCGGTGGTTCGAAACGGCGTCGTCGTCGCCTTCGCTTCCGCGTCGGGTTTCTTCACGACGATCTCGGGGGGTTCCTCGACGCCGCCGCGCAAGTCGAGGTTTAAGAGGTCGGAAGGGCCGAGCTCTCGTAACCGCTCGGTCGCTTCCTCGATGAATTTCTCCGCCTCGTCGTCGACGTCCCTCGGCAGGCTCAGGGCGATCATCTGAAAGACGCCCTCGCCCCTGATGGCGATCTCGATCGGCTCGAAGTGCGCGACGTCGACGGTGAACGTCTCGAATATTTTCTCCGGAATGCCCGGGGAAAACGCGAGCGTAAACGTCATCGACTCCCCGGACGCGAGCGACCCCTCGGAAGGGAACACCTGAAGGACGTCTCGTTCCATCTCCTTCACGTTCACCTTGAACGGAAACGTCACGCGTCCGGTGTTCAGGAGCGTCACCCCTCGCTCTTCCTTCTCGTTGAAATTCACGCGGCCGAAATCGACGGAGGTGACGTCGAGCTTGTACTTGATCTCCATGCCCTCGGCTTTCAGCGCGACTTCGTACGCGGGGCCGCCTTCGACCTCGCACACGGCGACCGCGCGAATCTTGCTGTGCGCCTGCGCAAAGTACGAAATCTCAACCTCTTCCTCCTCGCCCGGCGCGAGCTCGCCTCTGATTGGCAGGACGTCGAACACCTCCTCCGGCGCGGCCACCTTCGCGGGCGACCCTTCGATGTTCACGCGTCGTTTCGCCCCGGTTTCCCCGACTAAAACGCGCGAGATTCGAACGTTTTCTTTCACGAACAGCGCCGCGTGCGGGTCCTCGTCCTCCACCTCGAACACCCACTCGTACCGCGCCGGGCAGTGCGCGCTGCTGTTCCGAATCGTCACGTGCTCGCGCTTCGTCGTGTCGTTCAACACGGAACCGAAATCGATCTCCTCTCGCGAAAACTTCAAGTTCGGAAACGCGATCGACGCCTCCATCGCGACGCGGTCCAAGTGCGGGTTATCGTCGTACACGATCGTGATGTCGTTCGTCACCGAGTGACTCTTCCGGTCGCCGCGGTAGTCCGGGTCGAACGTCACGTTCACCGTCGCGCTCTCCTCCGGGTCGAGCGTCCACGTCGGCGCGTCCACGAAGAACGGCGGGACCGCGTCCAACGCGAAGCTAATCGGCAGCGCGCTGACGTTCTTCATCGTCAACGGCCGAGTCTCGCGGTGCTCGTGCGGGTTCGGGTCGTGCACGTACGTCCACGACATCTGCGATTTGCTGAACTCCATCAGGGGTATCGATACGGACGCGGACGCGTGGACGATCATGACCTCCTTCTGTTCCTTCGGCAGCGCGGCTTTGTTCCGGCACACGAGCGTCTCCATCACGTCGCCCTCTCTGTCCGCCGCGCCCGTCAAGGTGAACACGTGCGTGGACTTGGGCAGAAGCGTCTTCACCGGCGGGTCGATGCGAAACACGATGTCGTCCTCCGCGTTGTAGTTGTCCTTGTTCGACATCGCCTTCACGAAGCTCTCCTGCGCGTCGAAGTGCGCCTTGCGGTACTCGTCCGCGGTGACGTTGGTCCACTCGAGCTTCTGCGCGCGTCTGCCGTTGTTCGTCACCACGAGCTCTCTCGTGAACGGTCGGTCTTTAAACTGCGCGCCCATGCGCACGCCGTTGTCGACGTCCACGTCGTCGCACGTCGTCAGCGACCCGGTGCCCACCGCGCGCAGCGGGATCGTGAAGTCCTTCCCTTCGATGACCATGACGTTTAAGACGTCTCGCGTCTCGACGACTTCGTCTTTGAAGACGCTCACGGTGACCGGATACGACTCGCCGGGCCCCAACGTCTTATCCCTGACGTCCACGCTGAAGTCCGAGTCCGCGCCGCCGATGAACGTCTTCACTTCCGCGGGTATCAACGAGTCGTTCACGACGTAGAACGTCCGGTCGATCTTCTTCAGGACTTTGACCTCCTCGAAGTCGATCGCCGCGCGCCACTTCCCGACGAGGTCGTCCGGCTCGTCGGATAGGACGAGCTTCGGGCCTCGCGACTTGGCCTCGATGTTCATCCGCATCGGCCGCGCTTTCGAGCCCAAGACTCGCACGTCCACGGGCAAGACGACGTTCCCGACCATGTCCGTGAACAGCGTGAACGTCAGCACGACGACGCCGCCGCCCGCGATCGGCCCGCTCTCGGGCGTGACCGTCCACAGCGCGAGGCTCTTGCTCCTCTCGTCTTGCGGCGCGATGACAAACTTCGCGGGGAAGTCCGTCGGGTTCGTCAGCTCCACTCTGCGGCTGTAGTGATACCGCAGGAAGCACGGCCCAAAGTCGAGCGACGGCGACGGCAGCGACAGCCGCGGGACGTTGCACTCGCCGAATATCGGCACCCTCCACAGGTGGTCGCCCACGCCCGGGACGTCGACGATCACGCTGTAGCCTTCGTAGGAGCGCGGCGTCGTCGACACGAGCTCGACGTTGACGACTTGCTTCCCGAACGGCAGGATCGTCCCGCTCTGCGGGAACAGCGCGAGCTCTCTCGCGCCGTCGCCGTTGTTCTCCGCGACGTCCTCGGGGACGCGCAGGTTGAACCGCATCGGGATCTCGCACGCGTTGTGCATCGTGAAGTCTTTCACGTACCGGTACCCGTACGCCGCGGCGCCAAAGTCAATCTTTTCCGCGTCCACGGAAAACTTCGGGCCGATGATTCGCCCGCGGAAGTCGATGGACACGGGCTCTAACGCGCCGACCATCGTCCACGTGAACGTCTCGTCGAAGTCACCCAACGTTTCGCTGCACAGCGTCACGGTGACCACCTGCGTTTGCCCGACGGATAAGACCCCCGCGCAGGGTTCAAACGCAAACTTCCGACCGCTCTCCGTCATCACCGGGTCTAACCGGTACTCCGCCTCGATCTCGCCGCGGTTCAGGAGCTCGACCTCGTACTGGTGCACCGCGCCGACGAAAATGTCCCCGATGTCTAAGACGTCGTACGTGAACACGCAAAGCGGCCCGACGGCGACGCCGCACAGGGTCAACGGCAGCCGGTTTTCTCTTCCCTGGACGTCGACGTAACACGTCTTCGAAATATCCGCCGCGGAGGAAGGGTGAAACTTCACCGTGACCTCCGTCTCCCCGCCAGGGATGACCTCGCCCATGAGCGGGTATATCGTGAAGTCGTCGTCCTCGAACAGGAGACGATCCGCGGCGAGAGCTTTGTCTAAACCGCGCGCGCGCGTGGCAAACTCCACCGCTTTCGCGCCGTAAATGTCATCCTCGCCCTCGCTGTCGCCGTCGCTGCTTCCTCCCGCGCCGCCCAGGCCAGCGCTCGTCGTCGCGCCGCCTCGGCGCTCGTCGTACGAGTCCGCGAGCCCTCTCAGCGTGTCCCCGAACGTCCCGGTGCATCGCATCCTGGCTTCGTCTTCTTGATACGCGTCGACGAGTTTCTTGACTTCGAACCGAACGATCTGATCGCTGAGGTTCACAACCTTGAACGTCCGCTGCGACGTCTTGTGAATGAACGTCGGCAGGCACTCGCACTTCCCGGAGGACAGCCCAACCTCGAGCTCGACGCCATCGCCTTTCAGGGCGACGACGACGGGGTCGAGCCCTTCGCCCATCTCGATCTCCATCTCTCCCTCGTAGACGCCGCACGCGTCGGGCGCGAACCCAAAGGTGACCTGCGCGCACTCGCCAACCTCCAGCGAGCCCTCGCTGGGCGACACGCTGAACGGCTCGGGGGCGAACAGCGCGAACTTGGCGGCTTTCGCGCCGACGTTTCGAACCGTGCGCGTCAGCGCGGACGTCCCTTTCGCCGCCGTCGGTTCCATGGTGATCACGTCCGGAAAGTCCAACGCGGGCTTGTTCCCTATGCACCGCACGGGGACGATGAACCGCTCGCGCTCGGTGCTGACGACGAGATCCACGGCGTAGTCTTCCTGGTCGAGCGGCGAGAAGATCACCTTGTACGCCACCTCCATCCCGGGCGCGACTTTCCCGGTTCTCGCGTCGCCGGATTCCACGTCGCCTTTTTTGTTCACCCTCTTGACGCTAAAGTGCCGGCTCCGCGGGTCCTCGACTTTGATCCTCCTCGGGACGTAGTCGTTGTTCCGGAACCACAGCTGCTGCTCGTACGTCTTAAACGCGTCGTACTTGTGGTACGACACCTCCGGCGGGAACGGCTGGAACAGCGGCTCGTCGACGTCCACTTTGCTCTCGACTTGATGCGTGTAGTCGCACATGTTCAGGAACTCGATGATCTCCGGCGTCGGTCGGTGGCCCGCGGTGAGGTTCTTCGTCGGCCGCGTCAGCTCCTTCACGTGCTGCGTCGCGGTTTTCTGCGCGCGGAGGAGGGTGGAATCGAGGTGGAGGGGGCGAGGTGAGCGAGCGAGAAAAAGAGCCGTCCGTCATCTCGCGCGAGATGACGAGACTGACGAACGACGACGACGACGACCGCGCGGCTCCGCGACGCGCGTTCAGACGCGAACGACGCCGCGTCGCGTCGCGCGGGACCTCGCGCCGCTCGAACGCGCGACCGCGAGGGGCGACCGCGCGCGCGCGACGCGATCGGCGCGCGCGAGAGAGACACCGATTTGGGACGGTCGTTGTTGCGAGGTTCGACCGCGACGCGCCTTGAGGTCCGCGCCCAGGTCGTCACCCGTCGTGTACGCTCGGTACTTGATGTGCGTCGTGTTCCTCGGAATCGGCGGGGAGTTCATGTCGAGTCCCTTGCCGCCGCCTTTCCCGCCGCCCGCGCCGCCCCCCATCGCGCCTCGCCTCGCGCCTCCGCGGTCAACCGATCAAATCAATCTAGCCGTGGTGCCAAATCAAGCCGACGCCCCGCGGCGGGGCGGCCTCGATCTCGCGACGCGCGGGCGCCGGTCTAACACCAGTCGCGCCTCCTCGAAGTGCGCGCGTACCCCGGACGCCGCTCGCGACAGAGCCCCTCCGGTCGCCGCCCAAGCGCCCCGGAGTGCCGTTTGTGCCGCGCGCGACGACGCCCGCGACGGTCTCGTTCGCCTCGAAGGTGGGCGACGGTGGCGAACAGTCGAAAAAATCAGACCCGGGTTCAATTTCACCGCGCGGAGTGGGTGAACTTCCTTCTCTTGACCCATCATGTTCACCGATCAACAGACGCGTTCGACCGCGCAAATTTTCTGCCGACACCGCGCCCGCTGCGCTGCGCGGGCGTTCCGGATAGAGAGCGACGAGGGCGTAAATCCCGTCGCGACGTCGCGCACTCTTCGTCACACGCGCGTCGAACGCACGCCGCGTCGAGAACGAAAATGGCGGGTCTTCTTTCCAGCATGGCGGGGCTCACTCTCACGGGTTCGTTCGCGGGCGCTAAGCTCCGGACCCCCACCGCGGCGCCGTCGCGCGTCTCCGGTGGCTTCCAAGTCGTCGCGGTGCGTGTGACGAATCTCCCTCGCCGCTCCGTCCGTGTCATTCCGCGCGTCTCGTCGCCGCGGGAACGCGCGCGCGAGGGCGACGCGAGGACACGGCGCGCGCGTATCGCGCGCGAACGCGTTCGCGATGCACGTCGCCGCGCGCTCGTCCGTCCTCGCGCCGTCCGAGCCGCTCGCGTCCGCCGCGCGTCGACGCAATTCACGCGCGCGTCCGTCGCGCGTCTCTTCAGGGTTAGGGTCTGGGTGCAGCGTGCGAAAAAGATGATAAGCGATAAGCCACCGGACCCGGACGCGTCCTCGCCTCGATGTTCCTCCATCCGCGACTGACTGACGCGCTCTCTCCCCGCCCCTCGCGCCTCGCCCCTCGTGATTCCTAAACCCTAACAGAAGAAGAAGTGGGAGAAGCAGGAGCTGAATAAGAACGGCAACCCGGTGCGGGTGTCGATGCACGTAAAGACCAACGACAAGGTGGTCGTCGTCTCCGGCGCGGATAAGGGCAAGGTGACGGAGGTTGTCGAGCTCTTCACAAAGTCCGGGGAGATTCTCTGCAAGGACGTGAACGTGAAGACGAAGCACGTGAAGCCCAAGGGCGAGGGGGAGACGGGTCAGATCATCCAGCGGGAGTTTCCGATTCATCACTCCAACGTGATGCACTGGTCGGAGGCGCAGAAGACGCGATCGCGGATCGGTCACAAGGTTGAAAACGGGAAGAAGGTGAGGTTCCTGAAGAAGACCGGGGAAGTGCTCGCGAACTGAGTCCGAGTGGGTGGAATATTGGGTGACGCGGTGGACGCGACGAGCGATAGGCGCCGCGGCGGGGTTAGACCCCGCCCGCGCGCACTGTGTGTAAATTTCGACTGAGACGCGGTTTCGAAAACGTACGTCTGCGTCGCGACGCGACCGACGGCTCCGCGAGAAGAGCGCAACGCGCTACGTCATCATGTGAAGCGAACGAACACGTGCTTATTAAACAGTCCTCGCTCGCTCGTACCTAAGCGCGCTCGGCGCGGTCGGAGCGCGCGTCGCGTCGTGTCGTGTCGCGCGCGACACGAACGCGGCGGTCGTCGCGCCCCGTTACCTCGCCTTTTTTTCCACCCGCGGCCTCTGTCGCCGCGGGCGCTCTCCAACCGGAACCTCCCCCACCCTCTCAACTCTCCCTATTCCCAATGAATCCCTTCCCAATCTGTGTGTTGTTAAAAAAATTGTGCTGTGCTGTGCGCGCGTGCGGCGCGCGAACGATAACGATATCGATACCGCGGGCAGCACGCGAGCGAGCGGCGCTGCGCGGCGCGTCCGTCACGAGATGGCTTTCGCCTGCACCGTCGCGAGCTTGAACCCGTGCTTCATCGCCGCCTCCCACGTGCTGTCGATTCTCGTGTGATCGATCGCGCCGACTTCGTTGTACGTCCACCCCTCGAGCGCGTGCACGAGCGCGCCGGCGTGGCACGCGTGCACGTGCCCGCGTTCCATCGTCATCTCGCACGACCTAAAGTCCTTCGCATCCTTCGGGAGCGCGAACGCGGGGAGGTTGGTGTACACGCAGTCTCGTCTCGTCTCCGGGATCGGAGGGACGACGAACTGGTGAAACGTCGCGTGCTTGGGCGCCTTCTCCTGGTCCTTCGGCGAGCAGTGCTTGCCGACGACCCAGTCTTTAATCCCTCTCCCTTCCTCCAACGTCGTCGCCTGAACGATGTTCTTCTGGTCTTGTCTCCTCGCCTCCCCGCGGATCTTCTCGAAGCGCTCTTTGGACGTCGTGTACATCACGACTCGCACGCCCTTCGCGGAGAGGTACAACGCGATCGCGCGGCCGAGTTTCGACGTCGCGCCGGTGAGAAAAATCTCTCTCACGTCATCGGGGATCTTCTGAAGGATCGCCGCCGCGGTGAGCGTGTTCCCGTGCACGACGCGTACGTTCAAGTTCGGGTGCTTGTCCACGAAGAGCTGCCCGCCGCCGTTGAGCGCCTCGTTCTTGTTCAGAGCGCCCAACCCGAGCACCTTCACGCCGCTCTCGTTCGCTTGCAGGATAGCCTTTTCGATCTTGCGGTTGATGTGCGAGAACTCGCGCTTGATGAAGAACTGAAACCCCCACGCGGGCGTGACCCACGTCGCGCAGTTTAAGTGCTTCAGCCGGTGCTTGTCGCTCACGAAGGGCTGCCCGAAGAGCCGCAAGAGCGCGACGACGGGGAGGCAAAGCGGCAAGAACGGCTGCAGCCACCACGCGCTCTTAAACGGCCGCGACGAGAAGCTCCGCAGCGCGAACGGCAGGTGAAACAGCGACAGGAGCTCCGTCCCGTGCGCGACGAAGACGACGTCCGGCGCTTTGTTCGGCGCCGCCTCGCCTTTCATCGCGCGTTCGTACAGCTGGTGCGAGCCCGGGTCGGCGGTGCCGTACGCGTAGTCGTACAGCGGCATGAACAGACAAAAGTTGGTGTGCACCTTGCTGTGATGCAACGAGTGGTACGACGGCGTGTAGATGAGGTACTTCATCAGCGGCAGGTTCATGAACCACCGCGGGATGAACTCGAAGTTGCAGTGCCCGATGTTATTCAGGACGTCGAAGCCGATGAGGTACGCGTAAAACATCGCGATCGACGCGCCGCCCATCGCCCACGTCCCCAGCAGCGGGATCGCGAAGTTCGCCGTGTACATGAGGTGCTCCATGAACGGGTGCACGGACCCGGTGATCGGCTCCGTGACGAAGCTCGCGTGGTGGTGCGAGTGGTACGCGCTGTACAGCGTGTGGTGGTGCAACAGCCGATGCAGCCAGTAGTACGCGAACTCCGTCGGCCCCGCGTGTAACAAGAGGAGCTGCGCGAGACCGGCGCCGCACGTCTTCGGAAACCCGGAGAACCCTAACCCCGGGCACTTGTGCACGAGCGTCATGACGATGAGCTGCAGGATGATGTAGTCGTCCCAGTGATCTTCGCGATCGATCTGTTTGTAGTCGATTCCTTTCGCTTGTATCTTCGTGTGTTGCGTCACCGCGTGCACCCTCGACAGGGATATCCAAAACTGCGAGTGCACGTATCGCACGGCGGCGATCGCCAGCATGTGCCAGCACCAGTCGTCCGCGTCGTCCCTCCCGAGCGCGACGGTCGCGACGAACGGCACGAACAGGAGGTACTTGAACGTGCCCATGTCCTCCCACGGGAACTTGTACCCGAATCCCGGCTTGAGCGCCATGACGTCCGCGATCGACGTTCGCGCCGCGACCGACAACCGTCGACGTGTCTTTCGCGAGACCGACGTTTCACGGTCCGGTCGAGACGCGCGGCGAGGACGACGCGCGCGGTCGACGCGCGAGGGAGAGCGTCCGAGAGCGCGGTCGCGAGCGTTGTCGAGCTCGCACGAACGCGCGTTCGCGTTTCGCGGCGCGGGCGATTCGCGACTCGCGCGCGCGCGGTGCGTTTCTCGCGCGTCGACGGTCGCCCCCTCTCGCGTGTGAGCCGCTCGTCTCGGTTCGCGATGCGATGCGAACGATCGACGACGATCCGGAAACGCGCGCGCGTCGGATGTGTGCGCGCGTGATTTACCTGCGCGCGATCGAAGTCTGACGCGTGACGACGCGAAGAAGAAGTCTTCTCCTTGCGACGTGCCGCGTCGCGTCGCGCTTGTGGCGATACGCGCGCGCGTTCGCGGCGTTAAACGGCGAAACAATCGCGAGAGCAGCCACGCGCGTCGCTTTTTTTTATCTTCACGCCTCCAGCGCCTCGACCAGTAAACGTGTCGCACGCAGAGCGCATCTGCGAAGTTTGAGGCCGAGGTGAGTTTCGCGCGAACCGCGCACGTTGGCGTACGTTCGCGGCTGGGTTTTCAGTCAGGCGTACGTAAATGTCGCGTACTCGAAGGTGGGGCGCGTACGCGATACGTACGTTGCAAACAGTCAGGATCGCGTACTACGCCCGACCGACCAGCGAATTTCCTCAAAACGCCGGTGGCAACGCTGCACCCTCGCGATTTCTCAAGAGATTTTCCACTCGATACTTCAGAAACCGCGTCGAAATCGACCGATTTCGAACGCGTTTCGAGCAAACTTCGAGGAAGTTTTCTGTTCAAAGACGCCGAGACACCGCGGGATCTCGTCATTCTTAACGAACAACTAACACAATGGGTGCGTCATCTTTCCTCGTTCATCCCTCAGATTCCCGCGCCAACGCCTCGGAGACCCCACGCTCCGAGACGCTGTGCGACGCGGACGTTCGTTTCGCGAATTCGCGCGCGCGTGGGGTCGATCCCCGCGCGGGCGAATTCAAACGAAAACCCGTTTTTTCTTCGATCCCCCGACGACGCCTCTCCCTCTCGCGTCCTCTCACTGACATTCGACGCCCCTTCCCTCCCCATTCTTCTCCTCCAGCCCGTACGAAGCAAACTGCCCGCAAGTCTACCGGTGGCAAGGCGCCCCGCAAGCAGCTCGCCACCAAGGCGGCGCGCAAGTCCGCCCCGGCCACCGGTGGCGTGAAGAAGCCGCACAGGTACAGGCCCGGTACCGTCGCGCTCCGTGAGATCCGCAAGTACCAGAAGTCCACCGAGCTCCTCATCCGCAAGCTCCCCTTCCAGCGCCTCGTCCGCGAGATCGCCCAGGACTTCAAGACGGACCTCCGCTTCCAGTCCTCCGCGATCCTTGCGCTCCAGGAGGCGTCCGAGGCGTACCTCGTCGGCCTCTTCGAGGACACGAACCTCTGCGCGATCCACGCCAAGCGTGTCACGATCATGCCCAAGGACATCCAGCTCGCCCGCCGCATCCGTGGTGAGCGCGCTTAAGCGACGACTCCTTCTATGGTCTTCAACAACATCAAAAACTAACCGGCGCTTCGGCGACGAAACAATGGTGATAAATAATCACCACCTCTCTGCGAGAAATCTATCTGTACGGCGGAGGAGGCTACGACCTACTCCGCTCTCATCATTCACGCATCACTCGCCTCGCCTCGCCTCGCCCGCGTCAATCTAAACTAGCCGACCTCGTGGTGCAGAGCGCGAGTGATGAACGATGAAGGTCGCTTTTTTGGCTAAGAACGAGAGCTGATTACATTAATACGCGAGCTTGCTCCTTCGCAGCTCTAAGTGCGCGTCCACGTCCGCCCAGAACGCCTCGAACTGCGCGCGGTCGCCGTGCCGAACGTTCTTCTGGAACCGCAGCGTCTTGACGTTCCACTTCTTAATGATGTCCTCCGCCTTGTCCGTGTCGTACTGCGCGTAGAACCCTTTCACTTTTTGAAAGCAGTCGACGAGGTCGCCGTCGTCCGCGCCCTGGAACGGCCAATTCTTGAACTGCCACTCCTTCCCGGACACGAACACCGCGACGACGCGCGCCCAGTCCGGGCTTCTCTTGTCCGGCGCCTTGTCCGTGACCTCGTACTTGATCGACCGGTCGCGCTTGTATCGCCGCTTGAACACGATGTTCGAGTGTTTCTTCCCCCCGCTCTTGTGCACGCTGTCCCAGGTCACGAGCTTCTCGTTGGCCAAAAACTCCGCCACGTTGTACATGTTAAACAGCGCCTTGCCGTACCCGGCGGGGACGATGATCAGCGGCATCGCGCCCTCGCTCGGGTCTCTTCGCGTCTTCCCGGATCCCGCGCTCGGCGCCGCGCGGGAGGAGCCCCGCGCCGCGGGCGCCCCCGCGGCTCTCCGCGCGTCCGCCGCGAGCGCCGCCGCGCCCCTGACCGACGCCGCCCCCAGCCCCGAGGCGCCGCCGCCGCCGCCGCCCGTCACGCTCGCCAATCGACTCGGCTTCTTCGAGTCCAAGAACGACGCGTTGACGTCGATCCCAAGGTCCGCGAACCCCTCGCCCAGGTGTTCTTTCATGAACTCGTCCTGCTTCACGTCCCCGAACCGATTGCTCTTGATGGGCGCGATGTTCTCCGGTTTCTTCGCTCTCTTCGACGACGACTTCTTGCCGTCCCCGGTCGCGTCGCCGCCGCCGCCGCCGCCCGCCGCGGCGCCGAAAAAACCGAGCACGACGCTGAAGTCCTTATCGCACTGCAAAACGCTGTTCCGCGTGTGCATCGTGCGCGCGATCGGCGCTCTGTTCTCGTCGTCGTCGACGTCCATCGCGTCTCCCGCCGCGCCGCGTTTCCTCCCCCCCCTCGCGTCGGCGTCTTCATCCTCCGGCGCCGTCAGCGCCGGCGCGGTCACGTCCACGTTCGCGGAGACGTCCACCTTCCCGGTGATGTACTCCAAGAGATCCTTGCGCTCGATGAGCGACACGCGATCGAATTTCGCTTTCAGCGCGGCGGCCATGTACTGCGGATGGGCCTCCTTCGGGTTCAGCGCGTGCGCGCGCGCGAAGAACCAGATCGCCTCCACCGTGAGGTATCCCTTCCCCATCTTCGCTTTGTAGTTGGTCACGCCCTTGCGCGGGAACGAGTTGAGCTCGTCGAGGTGCACGTGCGTGTCATCGTGCGTGGATCTGCGGCGCGGGGTGGGACGGATCGGCGTGAGAGGGCGCGACGACGAGAGACGGGCGGGCGAGAAGAAGGATCCATCCACAGCATCCGCCCGGGATTGATTTAGGGGTTCGCGCGATCGCGACGCCGCGCGTCGTGGCGACAGCGCGCGCGGCCGGGGAGAAGAGACGCACTTCTCGAGCAACCCCTTGACGTAGTAGTCGCGGATCAAGCGCAGGGGATCCATGGCCGCGTGATCGGTGGGGGCGTGATCGCGCGCCGGCGAATGCTTCGTGGTGGGAAAACACGCGCGGATGACCGCGCGCAAGAACCGCTGCGGACCCGATGCACACCGCTAACCGAACCGCCTAGAAGCTGGTGCAGCTCGAAGTTTTCTGCTCGAAAAAGCAGCGGGAGGAAGCGCGCGCGCGACGCGTCGTGTACGTCGCGGACGTCGTCCTCATGACGCGCGCGCGCGCGCATCGCGTGATCTATCTACGCCACCGCTCGCTACGCCGCTCTCACAGCCGGTCCTCTTTCAGCGCGACGAGCTTCTCCCTGACGAACCGCACCTTGGTGGTGTCCACTTTTTTCACTCTCCACAACTCCTCGCCGGTGAACTCGCTGACCCACAAAACGCACCACTCCTCCGCGTTTTTCGCGAGTACCCTGAGCCCCCTCTCCGTCTCCTCCCGCGACGCGCACTGCTTCGTCGTCGTCCGCAAAATCTGCTCCACGATATCCGCGAACGGCGCCGTCTTCTTGTCTCGCGTCGCGAACCACGACCTCACCGCGTCGAACAACCCGGGGAGGAGGTCATACAGCCGACGCCTCGCGCGCTCCGCCCGCGTCGCCGGGTCGTTCTCGTGTCTCGCCATCATCTCACGCTTCATGACCGTCGCGAGATCCGCGTCGTCGATCGCCTCCGCGCCTTCGCCGAGCGTCGCTTTTCGCGCCGCGATCGCCTCAGCGTCAATCTCGACGCGCGAGAGGTCGTCCGCCTCGAGCTCCCTGGCGTCCATCTCCGAGCGGTCGCGCTTCCAGCCCGCGGAGAACGCGGTGCCGTTCCCCGAGCGCATGGTGTCGCGCGTCGCGGCCGCGGCGGGGGGCAGCGCCGCGCCCTCGGCGACGCCCGCGCCGGCGCCGGCGGGATCGACGCCGACGACCGCGGACTCCGCGCCGACGACGCGCGCCGCGGGTGGGTCCGGCGCGGTCGTCGGGTCGTACTTCGGGTGCCACGACGTCACGACGCCGTCGTCGTCCACCTCCACGCCGCCGCCGCCGCCGCCGCCGCCGCCGCCGCCGTCGTCGTCGAGCCCCGCGACGAACGCGTCGTGGTGCGCGCCGACGAGTTCGAGCAGCGCCGCTCGGAACTTCTTCCTCCTGTCGTCGAACCATCCGCTTCCGGTCTTCCTCGACGCGCCCGCGCCCGCGCCCGGCGCTCTCGCCCCCGGCGCGCCCTCCTCGACGTCCACGCGCACGCGCCGAGGGTCGAGCGCGCCGCCGTCGTGAACCGGCGCGCGCGTGGACAACCCGACGGTCCCCGGGAGGACGCCTTCGACCTCGCGCAACGTCTTCAGCGTGCATCGGCGTCGCGTCGTCGCCTCCACATTCTCGCACACGTTGTCCGCGGTGGACGCCTGCCCGCGCTTGCGGAGCAGCGGCCCGATCTGCGCGAGCGCGACGAAGGCGTCGTCCAGGACTTCGTACTTCGGCGGGAGCGGGAGGGACGAGTGCCAGCGGGCGGGCGCGGGGACGGCCGTCGCCGTCGTCGCCGTCGTCGTCGCCGTCGCCGTCGTCGTCGCCGTGGACGCGCGCGTCGTCTCGTCCTCTTCTCGCGTCGACGCCTTCGCGCGCGCGTCCTCGACGACGACGTCCGCGTCCGCGCGTGCGCGTTTCGCCGTCGGCTCCGCCTCACCGCTCGCGACGACGCGATTCACGTCCACGGGCGTCAACTGCGAGCGAGCGAACGATTTTGAAACGAGGGATCGAGGCGGGAGGTGAGTTCCCGCTCGCGACGGCGGGGAGCGGTCGACGCGGTCGACGCGGTGGCGGGACCTCCGGCGACGGCGAGGAGATCCCGAGAGCGCCGTCGGCGCGGGACGACGCGCGCGGTGAGGCGGCGATTCGATCCCGCGGCGACGCACGGGGTCGAGGAGGGACGATCGCGCGCGACGCGGTCGCGGTGCCTAGAAGTGCGCGAGAAATAATCAAGGCGCGAGACGAGATTTCGGGCGGGCGACCGAAGGCACGCACCGGCGCGGTTCCCGATCCCCCGCTCGCCGTCGCGCCGGCCATGCGCGCCATCATCGCCCCGCGCGCGTTCCCGCCGTACTGCGAAGGAGGCGCCATCCTGTATATCGCGTATCGAGCGCGGCGCGAAGTGAACCGATGTGGGCACACCCAGTTTCAAAATATCGATCGTCCCGAGAATAATATTTGCACCAGTCGCGGTCGCGGTCTCTCTTTTCCTCTCAAATCCTGCTCAAATCACGCTCAGGTGTTCTACTTATCAGGCTACCAGGCACCAGGGCCCCACCTAACTCACTTCGCCGGCGTCTCGTCCAGCCTCCACTCCAAGTTCCGCCGAAGCCTCGCGTTCGCGGGCTGCACGACCATCGGCCCCGCCACCTCCTTCGCCTTGTCCTCCCCGAACAGCTGCTCGACCAGACACAACGCCCACTCCAACGCCGTCCCCGGTCCCCTCGACGTCACGACGTGCTGGTCCACGACGACGCGGCTCTGAGCGAACGTCGGGGTGGAGTTGAAAGGCGTCAGTTGGAGTTGAAACGCGTCGAGGACGGGGATTGAAAGCGAGGGACCCTGGACGGAGAGATGCGCCGGGAAAAGTCCTTAAGGATCGGCGTTCACCACGCGAACGCGGTCGTATGGGGACCAGTGTGCAATAGACGCGCCTGAGCGTGCGCCTCCTTCTCGAGCAGAGACCCGCCGAGCTCGTCCACGAACGCGGGGTGCGCGGTCGCGGCGAACCCCTCCAGGAAACCCTTCGGCTCGAAACACACCGCCGGCGCCGCACATATCGCCGCGAGAAGCTTCCCCGCTCTGAAGTGCTTCTCTAGCACCGCGTGAAACTTGACGTGGTCCGCGATTCGTTCCGCGCCCGGCATCCCGCCCGGCACCGCGATCAGGTCCCAGTCCGACGGCGCGCCGCGTCCCGCGAGCTCTCTCACGTTCTTGTCCGCGACGATGCGGACGCCGCGGCTGCAGACGACCTCGTTCCTGTCGTCCTCGACGGACATCACGACGACCTCCGCGCCGGCTCTTCGCAAGACGTCGACGACGGTGACCGCCTCGATCTCTTCGCTGCCGTCCGCGATCGGGACCAGGACCTTTTTCTTCTTCGGATCGGTCGCGGCGGCGGCGTCTGCCGCGGCGGCGCGGGCGGCGACGCCGGCCGCGCGGCGCGGGGTCGCCGTCGTCGTCGTCGTCGACGACGACGACGAAGCCATCGGAAGGGATCTTCTTCCACCGAGCGCGTTCCGCGCGACGACCGGGGACGTCGACGACGGGCGCGGGGAGGCGCGGACGCGACGCGCGGCGACGCGAGCGCGGCGATGGGCGTGAGGGCAGCGCGCGAGCGTCGCGGTCGCGAGCGAGGTGGACGACGCCATCGCACGCGGGACTGGCGTGGAGGGCGCGCGCGTCGACGAGGATATCGATCGTGTCGGAACTGCATTTTCTGGGATCCAGTCTTGTCTCCTGTCCGGGATTCCGCGGGGGCAACCGGAGCGATTGACTCGAGAACAGACCGTCGTTTCCGCTCGAGGGGTGCCAAGAAAAATCCTCAAAAAATCTACTGCGACGCGCGACGACGCGCCAAAAAAACGCGCGCGCGCGCGATCACCGATCCACGCACGGCGTCCCGCATCATGCACAACCTCGTCACCGCCCCCGCGCCCGCGCGCGTCGGAGCGTCGCTTAAGGTGGCCGCGAGGAGCGCGCGCGTCTCCTCGGCGAGAACCGCCGCCGTCGTCCCCGTCGTCGCGCGTCACCGAGCGTCGATCGTGTCGACGCACGCGACGGAATTCGACGGCGTCTCGATCCCGGAGCCCGCGCGGCCGCCCAAGTCGCTCCGAGGCGCGTCTTCCGCGTCCTCGGCCGGCGCGCGAGGGTTCGTCGGCGCCGCCGCGGGCGCGATCGACGTCATCCCGGGCGATTACCGCATCGGCGGCGTCCTGCTCTCCGTCGCGATGTTCCTCGGACCGGTGTGCCACCTATGGACGCAGTTCGGCGTGCACGGGCTCTTGGGCGGGTTCCTCGCGTTCCAAGCCTCGCGCGTGCGATTCCGGTTCTCCGACACCGACCTCGACGTCGTGTTCATCGAGCCCGGGGCGGACGACGCCACCGCGGCGAGTTTGGACACGGACAGCAGCGGGGACAACAAGCTTCAGGGCGGCGGCGCGAACAAGTGGAGCTTCGATTCGGTCGTCAACTGGGAGTTCTGGTTCCCGGGGTTCCCCGTGCTCGTGTACTACAAAGAGAACCAAACGAAAGCGGAGGGGCAGCCGCACTTCTTCCCGATCATCATGGACGGGAAGAAGCTGTACGAGGTCATGTTAGAGAAGATGCCTAAGTCCGTGAACGAGAAGCCGCCGGTGAGCGAGTGGAATTTGGACACCGCGTTCGAGTCCACGAGCCTCGGGCGGTCCATCAAAGAGAACCTCTCGGACGAGCAGAAGGAGCAGCTGAAGAACACGACGGGGTTCCCGTTCCTGGATAATAAGTGAAGCGAAGCGAGGAGGTGGTGGAGGAGGAGGAGGAGGCGAAGTGGAAGTCGCGCGATGTATCAGTAGTTGCCGCCTGTTTTGTGCGTAGCGCCGCGAAGTAATAACCGCAGTCTATCGAAAGAAAACGCGTGAATGCGTTCACGCGCTCGTCCGCCGGCGGTACTGCGTCCCCTCCAACACGAGCTTATCCTCCCCCACGAGCTGCGTCAGGAACGCCTCGAGCTGGTCGATGCTCTTATCGTACGGCGGCTCGCTGACGAACATCTTCAGCATGTTGTGTATCCGATCCAACGGCAACGAAGGGAAATTCGTCAACATCCCCACCACGTACTGCTCGTAGACTTTCATCCCCGCCGCGGCCTGGTCCTCCGCGCTCGCGACGGCGCCGCCGCCGCCGCCCTCGTCGTCCGCGGCCGCGGCGCCGAACTTGTTGTCGCCGCCGTCCTTCCCGGAGGTGAGGACGTAGTACGACGTCTCGGAGCCCCCGACGGCGCCGGGGGCTTTTTCCTCCGCGACGAGCCCGCGGTTCACCCAGACCACCGTCTTTCGCCGCAACGTCGCTTTCGTGATCCCGAGCTCGGCCGCGAGCTCGTCCATCCCCCACCGTTCTTTCGTTTGAAACTGCGTCAGCACCGCGGCCTCGATCGGGGAGACGCTCAGCTCGATCTCGATGTCCCCGCGCATGACTTCCACGACCACGGTGCCCAACGTCGGCTTCCACCGCATCTGCCGTGGCGCCTTGAGGTGATGATACCTCTTCCCGTACGCGTCCATCATGCTCTGCATCGTCGGCGGGGGTTTAAACTCCGGCGCCTCGCACGCGAACGGTGGCCAGAACAGCGCGCTGACGATCGTCGCGTCGAGCGGGGACTCGCGGAGGAGGTTCGAGGACTCGACGTCCGCCGCCGCGGGCGTGCCGGGCGCGGGCGGCGCCTTGACGTTGGCGTTGATCCGCTTGCTGTCTGAGGGTCGAGGGTCCATCGTTCAAAGCGACGAATGTCGGGGTGGCGTTCAGGGGTGCGTCAGATATGGAGTTGAAAGGCGTCGCGGTGTGTCGGGATCGAAACCGAGTGATGGGCGGAGAGAGACGCCGGGAAGAGAAAATCCTCGAGGAACGGCGCGCGCCGCGCCGACGCGGTCGCACGTGAACCAGCGTATAGTAGAACGCACCCAACACGTCCTTCAGCATCACCTCGCACTTGTGCAGCGAGCTCTCGCCGAACCGCAGCTTCAGAAGCTCGAGCGTATGCATCTCGCGGTCGACGTCGTACCCCACCTTGCTTAGCAGCCGCTCCGCGAGCATGTTCCGGTACTCGTTGACGAGGAGCTCCTTCGAGCCGTAGATGCCGATGAGGTGGCCGAGCTCGTCGGCGGCGCGTCGTCGGCGGCCGCGGCTGCTCGCCGCCTCGGACTCCACGGGCTCGGGCTCCCACTCGTCCCACCCGTGGCCGCCAGGGGGTTTCGATGCCGGCGTCTTCGGCGCCTCGGGGGCGGCGGTCGCGGCGGGGGTCGCGGTCGCGGCGGGGGTCGCGGTCGCGGCGGCGCCCGCCTCCGGTCTCCCCGCGCCGCCGACGCCGCCGGGAAGATCCACCGTGAACTCCGGGTCGTTCTCCCACGCCTCCATCGCGCGCCTCGGCCCGCCGCGCGCTGATCCTCCGCCCCCGTCGCCGCCGGGTCCCTCCCATCCCGCGCCCACGTCGTCGCGGTCGATCTCGTCGTCGGACCCCTCGACGGCGTCGTCGCCGTCCGCGCCGAGCAACGCGTCGACGTCGTCGCCGCCGTCGCCGTCGCCCCCCCCCCCGCCGCCGCCCATCAACATCGTCACCACGCACCGAATCGTGTCCTTCCGCTCGCGCAGATACTCCTTCAGCGGGCCGGACACGACCCTGAGCACCACCCCGGACGGGTCTAACGCCCTCAGCGCGCGGATCGTGAGCCGGTACTGCTCGATGATGTCCGCCGTCGGCGCGCCCGCGACGAGCAGACGCGATTGCATCGCGCTCCGAAGCCGGCGCACGAGCTGCGCGTGCAGCGTCGTCCGTCGCAGGCACGCGCGCAGGTCTCTCACCGCGGGCACGGAGTCCGGGAACTCGACGATGACGTCGAAGAACTCGCTCACGCGAAGCGCGCCGAGGTGCTCGTGGATGGCGTACTCGAGTCGCGAGCGCCACTCGGCGAGCTTCGACGCGGTCGCGGCGGCGTCGGCGTCAGTCCTCCCGCTCGGTCCTCCCGCGCCGTGGGTCATCCCCAGCGTCGTCGCCAAGAACTGCAGCGGCACCGCGTCTAACCATCGCAACAGCCGCGGCAGCGCTCTTCGATCGAAGACGCCCTTCGCTTTCGCGCTGACCGTCTTCCGCACGGACAGCTCGAGCGCTTTCGCGACGGCGGCTTCCGCGACGGCGCCGAGCGCGCACCCGCCGTCGTCCCTCGCCTCGTGCCGTTCCGTCCACTCCCTCCCGCCACCGACCCCGGTGGCGACCGCGGCGACCGCGTCCGCCCACGGCGCCCCGAGCGCGTCTTTACACGAGAAGATCGGCGGCGTCGGTCGGTCGAGATCCATCGTCGCGCCGGCGGCGGCGGCGGCGGCGTCGTCGTCGGACGCGGCGTCGTCGTCCCCGTCCGGGTCCCTCCCGCGAAGCGCCGCGAGCGCTCTCTCGAACTCCGTCAGCCTTCGCGAGAAGTACGTCGCGACGACGGAGGATAAGCGCGCGGGCCCGCGCGTGGCGACGCCCGCGCCGACGCGCGCGGCGAGCTCGGCGTCCAGCCGCGCGCGCGCGTGCTCCGCGGCGCGCGGATCCGAGGCGTGCAGCGCGGTCGCGAGATTCGCGGCTCGCGCGCGCGCGTCCGCGATCGCTCGCGCGAACGCGTCCACGGCCGCGGGGACGGCGGCGTCGACCCATCCGTGCGTCGCGTCGTCGTCCGCGTCGTCGATCGTCCCGGGAGCCGCGGAAGCGGCGTCCGCGCGCGAGAGGGCGTCGCGCAGGCGCGGGAGGTGCGTCGACGCGAAGTCGTCGTCGCGCGCGTCGAGGAAGTGGCACTCGACGACGTCCGCGACGTCTCGCAAGGAGGCGCACTCGGCGCCGTACGTCCCGGCGGCGGACGCGGCGAGGTACGCGCGCCACGCGGAGGACGCGTCCGTCATCGCGGGCGCGCGGGGCGTCGCGCCGGCGAGTGATGGCACTCGTCGGGCTGTCCGATGAATATTTTGAACGCCGCAGCGCAGAGTCAGCTTTCGTTCAGGTCTAGTATCTAGGTCCTCGATCGGGGGTTATCCGATCAAAAATGCCGAAAGGGTTTTTTTCATCGCAAGAGCCGATCAAAAGTTGACTCGGGTGGAATCCTCCGGCGTGCGCGTGCGCGTGCGTCTTCTCGCGTCGAACAGTCGTCGTCGCACGATGGCGTCGTCCTCCGCGCGCGTCCTCGCGACGCTCCTCGGGTTCCTCCTGGTCGCGGTCGCGACCGCGCCCGCCGCCGCGGACGCCGCGCGATCCCTCCGCGCCGCGGACGTCCCCGCCGCCGCCGGCGCGCGCGCGGTCTTCGTCAGCTGTCCGAGCTGACGACTGAAGCGCTTCCCCGAGCTCAAGCGGCTCATGAAGGACGAGGTCGAGGCGGGCGCGTGGGGCGACGACGTGACGGTGAAGTGGGAGCACGGGCACCCGGTGACGCTCGTGGTGTACGGCGACGACGGGAAGACGGAGGTGATGCGCGAGAACGTGGAGGACTGGGGGATACGGAAGGTGCGGGAGACGCTCAGCGAGCGCGGGTTTCGAAAGACCGACGACGACGGCGGTTTTGGAGGAGGAGGCGGCGTGCGGCGGGCGAACGACGTGAACGCGTTCGCCGCGTTCTCGAAGTCCGGCGAGGCGGACCGGACGACGGTCAGGACGCAGCCGATCAACGCTGGATAGTCTTCTCGTCGGGATGGGAGACGCGGACGCAGACGCGAGCGAGCGAGCGAAACGAACGCGATCCGCGAGAGACGGCGAGACGAGACGAGACGACGGAGAGTGACGGCCGCGCGATGAAACGCCGCGAGACGCCCCCAGCGGGCGTCGGCGATCGCCGAGCTCGATGCCCGTCGTCCGTCTGCGTCTCCGACGGACGGACGCGTTCGCGTCGTAGACTGTAATAATAACTTAGGCTACGCGTGATAGGCCCCATCTCATCAGCCGGACGACGAGCGACGCGTCGCGACACTTCACAACCTCAGCCCGCCGAAGTCGATGTTCCCCGCGGATCCCTGCGACCCCCCCGGGCTCGCGGACCCCGCGTTCCCGATCCACCCGCCGCCGCCGCCGCCGCCGCCGCCGTGCTCCGACCCCGGCGCGCACCCCATGGACGACAACACGCTCTGCAGATCGCCCACCGCCTCCAACCCGGCCACCGGGTGCGCCGCCAACGTCGCCGCGAGCGCGCCTAAATCCGCCGCCGTCGCGCTCGACTGCAGCCAACGCAGCAGCGCGGTCGCCTCCGCGCCGGGCGGGCCGAGGACGATACCGTCGAGCTCGAGCTCGCTGCCGTCGTCCGCGTCGTCGACGTCGCCGGCGTCGGGGTCCTCCGGTCCCGCGCCCGCGAGCTTGCGCGCCTCGGCGGCGTAGCGCGCGAGAAACGCGTGCTCCGTCTCCTCGTCGTCGGCGCCGCCGCGCCCTCGCCCGCCGTCGTCGTCGCTGTCGCTGTCGTCGGCGTCGCTGTCGTCGTCGTCGTCGTCGCTGTCGTCATCGTCGTCGTCGTCATCGTCGTCGTCGTCGTCGTCGTCGTCGTCCGTGTCCTCCTCCTCGGCTTTGCGGCTGCCGTGCCCGAGCCCGCCGCCGCTCGCGCGGAGGTCTCTCAACGCGAGCACCGCCCGCAGCGCCGCCTCCGCCGCCGCCGCGCGCGCCGCCGGGTCCCGCACGACCCCCCCGTTCAAACCCAAACCGTCGCTCCCTCCTCCTCCGAGCGCTCGCAACGCCGCGGATGCCAGCACGTGCAACTCGCTCGCGCTCATCTCCGCGCCGTGCGTCACGAGCGTCAACGCCGCGGCTCTCGCCCAATCCTGCGCGGCGTTCGCGCCCATCGCCGCCGCTCCATCGGACGCGCTCCGCGCCAAGACGCCGCCGACGGCGAGCACGAGCGGCCTCGCGACGGGCATGTCCGGGCTCGCGAGGCTCTCCAGACGCGCGCTCGCGGCGCCCACGACGGCGCTCGCGACGGACCGCGCGACGTCGGTTTCGCGCGCCGGTCCCCGTCCCGGCCCGGCGCCGGCGACGCGCGCGGCGAGCGACGCGACCGCGTGCGACGCTCTGCACGCGCGCGCGACGCCGAGCGCCCTCGCGCCGTCGATCGCGCCGGACAAAAACGTGGCGTACGATGAGAGGACGTCGTCGACGCCGCCGCCGCTCGCCGAAAATCGGAGACGCCCGCGCGCGTGCGCGGCGGCGACGTCCGCGATGACGTCGCACGCAGCCTCTTCTTCCTCTTCCTCCCACGCGTCCCAGTCCGGCAAGAGCTTCGCGTGCGCGGCGACGAGCGACTCGAGCGAGACGTTCGCGGATGCGTTCGCGTCCGGGCACCATCGAATCGCTCTCGACAGCAACCGCGACATGTCGCCCATGCAACACGGAATCGGCGAGCCCTCCGCGCCCGCGTCGCCGTCGTCGTCCGCGCCCATCATCCCGTCGTGATCCGCGCCGACGCCGCCGTGAACGTCGGCGGAAGACGTCGGCCACGCGGCCAACCCCCACGCCTCCGGCAGCCACGCGCGTCGTAACGCGTCGCAGACGTGCGGCACGAGCGCGACGAGCGACGCGTGCGGCGGCTTCCGCCCAAGAGACGCGTCGTCGTCCTCGCCCTCGTCGTCGACCGCGGCGTCGTCGACCACCTCCTGCGCGGCGTCGACGACCGCGACGAGCGACTCCAGCGCGGTCTCGACGATCGTCGGCAGCGTGCGCGGCGGCGCCGGCGTGAACGCGGCCGCGGACCTCGCGAGCGCCGCCGCGAGCGGGTTGGCGAGTTCCGTCGCGCCGCAGTGCTCCGGCGCCACCTCCGCGGCGACGGCGACGAGACGAAGCGCGCGGAGGCGCGCGGGGTCGGCGTCGTCCGCGTCCGCGCCCGCGCCGACGTCCGCGGCGGCGGCGGCGGCGGTGAGCAACGGCGCCCAGTCCTTCGGCCAGCACGACGCGTGCAGCGCGGACGCGATCGCGGACGCCGCCGCGGACCGCAACACCGGGTCCTCCGCCGCCGCGGGGTCCGTCAGCGTGCGCAGAAGCGCCTCGTGCGTCGGCCCTTCCGGGAGCGCCTCCGTGGCGGACAGCTCGCCGAGCGCCCAGCACGCGTTCGCGCGCACCATCGTCGCCGCGGGAGAAGCACCATCCGCGCCGGGGCCGGGGCCGCCGGCCGTCGCGAGCGCTGGCAACACCCGCTGCCTCGCGAGCGTGCTCACGACCCCCTTCGGCGCGTGCGCGCCGAGCCACCGCGACATCGCGCCGTACGCGACCAGGACGCCGTAGTACGACGAGAGCGCGGCGCGCGCGTCAGGGGAGGTAATCGCGCCGGCGTCGTCGGGACCGGGGAGTCGGAAGCGCTCGAGGAATCGCAACGCGACGTCGCCCGGCGTCGTCGGCGCGCGCTTCGCGCCGCCTCTGTTCGAGCCGCCGCCCTTCTTCCGCTTCCCGCGGTCGTCCTTGCCCCCGGGATGCGCGCCGCCGGCGCTGCCGCGCTCCGCGAGCAGCCCCAGCACGTTCGCCGCGCTCTGTCTCGGCGCGTAGAGCTCTTCGTTGAAGCCGGTCGCGTCGTCGCTCTCCGCCGGGAGGTTCTTTCGCAGGTATTCCTCCTCGTCGTCGCGCCAATCCTCCTCGTCCGCGGGCGCCATGCACAGCGCGGGGAAGATGGCCTGCTCGAGAAGACGGCCAAAGTTCGGCGCGAGGAGTTTAAACCCGGGCGCGGTCTCGGAGATTCGCGCGAGGAGGTCGAAGCACAGCGCGCACTGTCTGTCTCCGGCGGCGATCATGACGTCGGACGATCCTCCGTGCGCCGCGGCGTCCGACGACAACCGCGCGTTCGCGAGCGCGCCCGCGAGCGCGCTCGCGTGCGAGCACACCGCGGGGAGCGCCTTGTCCACGTGTCTGCGATGCCGCGTCACGAGCGACATCAGGGCTTGGATCACGCGCTTGACCGCGCGCGCGCGAGGGGCGCAGTGCGCGCCGGCGTCGTCGGCGTTTGAAAGCGAAAACGACGGCGCTTGTTCCAAAATTTTCACCAGCACCTCCAACCACCGCGGCAGACTCGGCAAGAGCGACGTCGGCATGTACGCCGCGACGGTGTGATGAAAACACTTCAGCAGCGTGTGCAGAAGCGCGTCGTTCCCAGCCTGGTCGGGCGACGGCTTCGCCGCGAGCGCGGCGATCGCCGCGGGGTCGCCTCTCTCCGCCGCCGCCGCCGTCAGCGTCCCCTGCGCGAGGATGCTTAACATCCCGAGCAAAGGCTCCAGGAGCGCCTTCACGATCGCCTCCAGCTCCGGCGGCGCCGCCTCCTTATCCATCCCCGGGTTGTGAAAGTACTTGTACGGCTTCAGGAGCGTGTGCACCGCGATGAGCGCGTTCGACGTCTTCACCGCGCTCTTCTCCTTGCCGTTCATCAGGTTGCTCTCTGAGGGTCGTTCCATACAAAGCGATGTCGGGGTGGAGTTCATAGGCGTCAGTTGGCGTTCAAAGGCGTCGCGGTCGGGGATTGAAAGCGAGGGGTGGGCGGAGAGAGAGGACGGCAAAAGTCCTTAAGGATCGGCGTCCACCTCGCGAACGCGGTCGTATGGGGACCAGTGTATAGAACGCGCCTGACACGGCGGCGCACAACGCCGGGAGCAGATCCGGCCAGCACTTCGCGCGCGACACGTCCTCGGTGACGACGATGCGGAACGTCTCCGCGAGGAGCTTCACGACCGGCCCTCCCGGCGGCGCGACGCACAGCGCGTGCAGTATCGCCGCGCGAAGCGGCTCGCGCTCGCCCGGGACGAGCTTCCGCGGCCACCGCGATCGCGCGTAGTTGTGCAGCGTCGTCGCCGCGGGCAACGCGACGGACGCGACGGACGGGTCCGGGGACGACGCGTGCGCGATGCACTGGAGCAGCGCGGCGCCGTACCCCGGCGCGTCGGAGGCGGCGTTGAGCGACGCCTCCGCGGCGGCGATGCGCGACGCGTCCGCGGCGGTCGTCTCGTGGAGGGTCCGCGCGAGCGTCGTCACGTCCGTCACCGTCACGACGGCGGGGCCCTGGGGCGGCGACATCGTCGCGCCGACGCCGCCGCGGGAGGCGTCCGCGTTGGTCCCCGCGGGCGGTTTCGAGTGCGCGTCCGCCTGGACGCGAAGGCGGGTCGCGGAGGGGGGGTGGATCGCGTCGGACGCTAGACGAGGGGGGTGGACGGACGAGGCGAGACGCGACGCGACGCGGGGTGATGGGTGGGCACCGGCGACGCGATTTCAAAATCGGTCGACGATCGATCGATCCGACGACGGGAAGGACGAACGAAGATCCTCGCGCGCACCGGCTCGCCCACGGCGTTCGTGAGATCGGCCCCGAAGCGACTCTGCGGCTCCGCTTCCATCCACGGGTTCGTTCGCGCGCGATAGAGCGTTCGCGGGGTGCGCTCACCGCGCGACGTCCGCGCGCGTCTTCAGTGGCGCGACGACGGTTTGAAACGAAGACGACCTGGCTGGTGTCGTTGTTTGGGCGCGATGAGTCGACAGGAAGCGCGCGTGCGACAGCCGTTTTTTCTTTCTTTCGTTCTTGTTCTTTCGTTCTCGTCGAGACACAGCCGCGTAGTCGCGGATCAACTAAAACGGTCACGCATCATGCGTTACACATCATCCATCACGCAAAGTTCCCGCCGTACACGAGCCACCCGAGCAACGTCTTGGACACCAACGACTGAACGATGTACGCCGCCTCCGCGCGTCTCCCGACGTTGGCCCTCCCGGGCCCGCCCTGCCGCCAGTCGTCGAAGAGGACGAACTGCGAGAGCTGCGTGATCCCGAACGACGCGAACAGCGCGAGCTCGCAGAACACGATGGCGTACACGAAGTCGGGCGCGACGTTCTCGTCCCGCCCGCCCGGCGCGTCCGCGAACTCGCACCCGCGCTGGGACGTGAAGAAGTGCGCGACGATCACGACTGCGAAGCGAAGCGTCGAAAGAAAGGCGTCAGTCGGAGTCGCGAGGCGTCGCGGCGCGTCGGGATCGAAACCTAGCTAGGGGTGGTGCGCGGAGTGAAAAGGCGCGCCGGTCGCGGGCGAATGTCGTGTGGGGTCCAGTGCGGTGATGGGACGCGCCGTAGACGACGCCCATGGTGATCCATCCGGCGAAGTGCGCCGTCCATCGAAGAAACGGGAGAGAGAGCCCGACGCATGACGCCGCGATGGCGGTCGCGACGTCGCCGGCGTTCTGATGCTCCGCCGCGCGTCGCGACGACGGGACGTCCGACGCCGCGCCGACGTGCACGCGCGTGGTCACCTGCGAAAGCGGAGAAAAGTTCTCTCTCGCGTGAGACTCGTGTAGACTCGACCGAAAGAGACGCGCGGGAAGCGGGAAGCGGTATCGCTCACCGTGTCCCCAGCGCTCGCGAACGTCCGCGCGAGCGCCTCCTCGACGGCGAGTATGCGCTCCGCGAGGAGACCTAATATCATCGTCGCCCACGTCAGCGCCGCGAGCGCGAAGAGCATCCACGCGTCGAAGACGCCAACCTGCGACGACGCGGCGGAACGTCAGTTTTTATAATGTAGTCGAAGAAGCGGGGAGCGGTGCGACGCGAGCGTTCTCGCCTGAAGCGCGATCGCGACGATCATCACCGCCGCGCTGAACGAGTACTCGACGAACCGCATCCACCCGCTCGTCGGCTTCGTGGCGTAGGATTCGTCGTCGTCGCCGCCGCCGAAGAACTCACCCTGCGGGTCCTCCGCGACGTACCGCTCGCCGGTGACGAACCGCCGCAGCCGTTCCAAACGCGCGAACGCCGCGAGCTCGCCGACCGCGACTGCGGCTTGGAAGACGAACGACAGCGCGAAGAACGCGACGACGAGCCAGTGCAGGCTCAGCGCGACGCCGCTGTCCTCCCACGCCGGGGACACGGCCATGTCGCCGACGGCGGCGGACTTCGGGACGTCGCATTCGGGGTACGGCGACGAGAGACCGGGAACGGCGGCGGGGCCGAAGAGGTCCGGGTAGGCGGCGGCGAGCGTCGGGCGCGCGTCGGACACCGCGCGCGTCACCGCCGCGGGCGCGTCGAGCGCGAGGGACGGCGGCGTCGGGCGAGGGCCGAACGTCGCGCGCGATACGTACAGGTAGTACGTGACTGAAGGAGGAGCCGAGGAGGGGCGCGCGGACGTCGGAGAGACGACGGGCGGGGCGGGACGGGACGGGACGGAGGGCGCGAGGGCTTCGGACGCGAGCGCGCGCGCACTGTCTTTGCGGTCGCCGTTAGCGCGCGTGTCCAGCGCCCAGAGCAGGCAGAAGACGATCACCCACGCGCCGTGCAGCGCGGCGGCGCACGCGTTCAGCGTCCACAGCGAGCAGCGCGCGCGCGACGCGCCGGTCCCGCGTCGACGTCGCGCGTCGCGCGTCGTCGTCAGCGGGGAGCTCTCGTTCGCGCCGGACGACGACGCGGTCGACCTCCGGCCGGCGAGGGTCCGCGGCGCGTCCGCGGCGTCGCCGAGGCCGTCGTCCGCGACGCGATACGTGTCTTCGGGCATGGCGCGCGACGGAGTGTGGGCGCGCGCGGGGCGTCGTGGCTTCGGAGCGACGAGGGCGTTTCCGGTGGAGCGTTTTACGGGAGGAGCCGAACAGAAAGAGAAAGAGAACCAAAGAAGGGAACGAACGCCAAAAGATTAACGAGACGTGCTTCTTCTAACTACGAGCCTACGTCACGCCTGCTGCGTGTTCGCGACGTGCACGTCCAGCATCCTGACCTCCCCCGACAGGACGTTTACAATCTCGTCGTCCTCCTCGGAACAAAACGAACTTCGCTTGACGACGGCGGGCTCTCGGTCCTCTCCTTCGCCGTCGCCGCCGCCGCCTTCGCCTTCGCTCTCCCCGCCGCCCCCTCCGTTGGTCCTCTCGCCGATGGGCACGAACGCGCGCTCTAACTCGCCGTCGTACATCTGCCGCGGCCGCGATATCCTAACCACGGGCTCGGACGCCATCTCGCACCACTGCGATATCCATCCCAGCGACCGCCCGACGGCGAAGATGACGGTGAACATGTTTCGCGGAATCCCGAGCGCTCGGAAACAGATCCCGCTGTAAAAGTCCACGTTCGGGTACAGCTTCCGAGAGATGAAGTACTCGTCGCTCAGCGCCACCTTCTCGAGCTCCATCGCGATCGTCAAGAGCGGGTCCGTGATCTTCAGGTGCGACAGAAGCGTGTGGCACATGTTTCGCATCAACGCCGCTCGCGGGTCGACGTTTTTATACAGCCTGTGCCCGAACCCCATCAGACGGAACGGATCGGACTTGTCCTTCGCGCGCTTCACGCACGACGGGATGTTCTCCACGCTCCCGATCTCCTCGAGCATCTCGAGCACCGCCTCGTTCGCGCCGCCGTGCGCGGGGCCCCACAGCGACGCGACGCCGGCGGCGACGCACGCAAACGGATTCGCCTGCGAGGAATGTCGGGGTGAAGTTGAAAGGCGTCAGAAGCGGAGTTGAAAGGCAACGCGGGCGGGGATTGAAAGCGAGGGGTAGGCTCAGAGAAGCGCCGGGAAAAGTCCTTAAGGAACGGCGTTCACCACGCCGACGCGGTCGTATGGGGACCAGTGTAAGGAAATCGCACCTGAGACGACCCCGCGATTCTCACCGTGCTCGTGCTCGCGTTCTGCTCGTGGTCCGCGTGCAGCATTAGAATCACCTCCAAGCACCTCGCCGCGGTCGGATCCAGCGCGTACCGCCGCGTCGGGAGCGCGAACATCATGTACATGAAATTCTGCGCGTAGTTGAGGTCGTCGCGCGGGTACACGATGGGCTGTCCGTGCGCCGTCTTAGGGTCGTTCCATACAAAAAATAATTCACCGGTCAGTTGACGAAAGGGGACGCGATCAAGTGTTGAAACCGGGCGATGGGTGAAAAACGTTTGTATAGAACGCACCTTGTACGCCATGGCCGCGATGGTCGCCATCTTCGCGAACACCCTGACGCCGGTGATGTACCGCTGCTCCGCGTTCTCGTACGTCATGTGCTTGTCGTCGTAGAACGCGGACAGCGCGCCGACGACGGAGACCATGATCGCCATGGGATGCGCGTCGTGGTTGAACCCGTTGAAGAATCGAATGAGATGCTCGTGCACCATGCGGTGCGACTTGGCGATGGATACGAAGCGACGTCGGGGTGGAGTTGAAAGGCGTCAGAAGCGGAGTTGAAAGGCATCGATGGCGGGGATTGAAAGCGAGGGGTGGACGGAGAGATGCGACGGGAAAAGTCCTTAAGGATCGGCGTTCACCACGCGAACGCGGTCGTATGGGAACCAGTGTAAATATGAACGCACCCGCGCGAGATGTCGAAACTCCCCGCGTTGCGTCTTGTTCGGCAGCGTCCCGCGCAGCAGGAGGCACGCGCAGTCCGCCATGTCGCCTCTCGCGGCGAGGTCCTCGATCGGGTACCCGCGATACGTCAGTCGGCCGCGTTCGCCGTCGATGAACGTGATGGCGGAGCGGCACGACGCGGTGGAATTGAAGCCCGGGTCGAACGCGCATATCTTGTGCGCGGGGTACAGGCGCTGAATGTCGACGAACGTCTGCCCGGCCGCGTCGGCGAGGACGGGGAGGCGGATGACCGTGCCGTCTGGGGAGGAGCGCGGGGATGGAGGGGAGGGGTTGGAGAGGGGGGTCAGGCGCGACGCCGCGTCGGAGATTTCGTTTCGTCGTCCCGTCGCGTCGTCCTGTCGTCGTCCGCGGAGTCCGAATCGTCGGGTTCGTTTCCGCTTCCGGGACTCGAGACGCACCCGGCATCGTCAGGATCGCGTCGTCCCCGCGCGCGGGGTCGCGCCCGGACATCCTCGCGCGAGCTGAGTATCGGTGACCAGAGGACGCCTACTGGTACGCGGCGCGATGCGCTGTGCCGCGCCGGCGGGGGGCGATGTCAACTCTCGGACGGATATGATATTATTTTTCGTGCTGACGGTGCCGCGGTGACCGGACCCGCGACCCGGCGCGCTTTTTCCTCGAGCGAGCCGACGCGGCGCCTCTCGGAGCGCGCCGAAGAGCAGCCCACCCTCCCCGCCCGCCGCGCGACCGCCACCGCGTCCACACCGACGCGCGCGACGACGACTTACGACGACGACGTCATGGGCGCGTCCACGAGCGCGATGCCCGCGCCGTGCGGCCGTCCCCCCGTCACCGCGAACCCGACGACCGCGAAGCTCACGCCGCGAGACGCGAGCGCCTTGAGAGACCTCTACGGACACGACGACGAGCTCTTCCAGCTCATGTGCGGCGCGGAGCTCCTGCGCGACTGCGCGAAGAACGTCAGGGACGACGCCGCGGCGTACTTCCACGCGATGTCGGCGTCGTGCGCGGCGGAGCGGAAGTTCGGGGAGAAGCTCCAGAGCGTCGCGGATACCCCCAACGTCAGCGGCGTGGCCGCGCACCTCGCCGCGGCCGCGCGCGCGGACGACGCCGAGGGCGAGACGTCGCCGTTTCCGCGCGGCGCCGCGGGCGGCGGCGGCTCGGACCCGCGACTCCGCGCCGCGCTTCAGGTGAGCGCGTCCGTCGGCGAGCTCGCGCGCGCGGAGGTGGACGCGTCGGCTGCGCACGACGCGTTCGTGGAGACGTTCTTGGAGAAGATGAAGGACGTCGCGGCGAGGGTGGAGAAGGCGCACAACACGAAGCTGGAGACGTGCGCGCGCGCGCGTTCGTCGTTGGTTTTTTGGTTTTTTGGTTTTTTGGTTTTTTGGTTTTCCTCTTCCCGCGGCGGGCGTCTCTCTCCCTCGCCGCGACGGTCGACGATTCACGTTCCCCAACTCCAATTCCCCTCGTTCGTCCATCAGCGCCGCGCTCGCGCACGAGAAGGCGTTCCGGCAGGTCAAGCCCCCCGAGCACCGGCTCGAACATCTCATGAACCTCGACGACGAGCAGCGCGAGTCCCCGGAGTGTCAAAAGAAAATCGACGTCGCCGAGGTGGAGCTCGAGAAGCGAAAGGCGCAGGTGGCCGCCACGTCCAAGATGCTCAAGATCAGAGCGCGATTATTCCTGGACACGTACACGCCGTACGTCCGAGACGCGATCAGCGCGTTCGCGGTCGCGCAGCACGACGCGCACGCCGCGATGGCGCGCGCGATCGGCCGGAGCGTCGGCGGCGGCGGCGGCGGCGTGGACGCTGCGCGACGCGAGTGCGCGTGGTTTCTCGACGCGGAGCCCGGGGCGGCGACGCCGAAGGTTCCGGTTCCGTCGGCGGTGGGCGAGGGCGGCGAGGGCGAGATCGTCGCCGCGGCGGCGGCGTGAGGAGGGGCGTGGAGGGGCGGGGATACCGCGCGTGGCGCGGCGTGTGGACGGAGAGAGAAGACGCGTACTGTAGCAGAGTCGACGACTACTGATGACCGATGATGACCCGATTTCGAGAAACGACGCTCGAGAAACGACGCTCGCTCTCGGACGCCTCGACCGTTCGCGACGTCGCGCCTCCTCCTCGCGCCGCGTCGTCGTCGTCTCGTCGCCGTCGTCGCCGTCGCTCTCACTCCGTCGCGTCGCCGCGCGCGCATCGGCGCCGCGAGCATGAGGAAGTACGTCCCCGATAAGTATCGCGCCGCGATCGCGGACGTTCGACCCGGGGCGCATGACTACGTCGGAGGCGTCTGCGCGACGTCGCAAGTTTTGCGACACGTCGCTCGGTACGCGTCGTTGGCGCCAATGGTTCTCCTCGGCGCGCCCGCGCTCGCGCGCGGCGTCGCGCTCGCGATGCTCTCGTGCGTCGTCGCGTTCGCGCTCGCCGCGCCGGCGATGCTCGCGCTCGCGTGGATGACGTGGAGAAGGCTCGGGCACCCCGCGCCGGCGACGCGCTTCGAGCCGCGCGTCGAAGACGACGACGACGACGACGACGACGACGACGACGACGACGACGACGACGACGCGACGCGAACGGAGGACGACGCTTCCCCGACCAACGCGAGCCCACGACGACGCCCCGTCCGACGCGTCGCCGTCATCGGCGGCGGCGCCGCGGGCCTCGCGACGCTCCGCCAGCTCCTGGACGTCGGCGTCGACGCGACGCTGTTCGAACGAAGCGACGACGTCGGCGGGCTGTGGAGCTACGACGACCGGCGCGCGTGCAAGGTGTTCGACAACGTCCTGCAGAACGTCACGAAGCACCACAACAGATTCGCCGGGCACGCCGCGCCCGCGCACTGGCCCGTGTACCTCGGGCACAGGCACACGCTCGAGTACCTCCGGTCGTTCGCGAAGCGCTTCGGCCTGCGCGCGCGCGTCAGGCTGCGGAGCGAAGTCTCTCGCGTCGAGAAAAACGTCGACGACGGCTCGTTCTCCGTGACGGTTCGAAGAACGGAGGCGTTCCCCGCGTTCGTCAACGACAAAGCGAAAGCGAAAGCGAAAGCGAACGCGAACGCGACGACGAAGAAGAAACCGCGGTACGCGAGCTGCGCGTTTTTCCCGCCGCCCGAGAATAACGCGCCCGAAGAAACCCCGGACGAGGAGACGCACGTCTTCGACGCCGTCTGCGTCTGCACCGGTCAGCTCTCGAGACCGAAGAAGATCTCGTGCCCGGGGATCGAATCGTTCCCCGGGAAGGTGATGCACTCGTCCGCGTACCGCGTCCCGGGCGACCTCGCGCGGAAGCGCGTGTTGATCGTCGGCGTCGGCGCGGCGTCCGGGTCCGACGTGGCGCAGGACGCGTGCGGCGCGGCGCGCTCGGGTGCGTTCTGTACACTGGTCCCCATACGACCGCGTTGGCGTGGTGAACGCCGGTTCTTAAGGACTACTTCGCCCTTCGTTTCTGTCCGCCCGTCGCTCGCTCTCGATCCCCGACCTCCCTCGACGCCTTTCAACTCCGTCCGACGCCTTTGAATCGACCCTCATCAACCCCGCAGTGACCGTCGCCGCGCGCACGGACCGGTGGATCCTCTCGCGCGGGTTATCTCAAGGGCACCCGACGTTGCTGCTGCTGCTCACGACGTGGATGCCCGCGTGGTTGGGCGTGCTGCTCGTGCTGTACGGCGACTGGATCCCGTGCCTCAGAGTCCTCGCCGCCGGGATGACAGACTCGAGGGATTTTCTCACCTCCGTCGCGCTCAGGAAGATCGCCGTCGTGAAGTCCACGGTCGCGAACGTCTCCGGCTCGACCGTCACGTTCCGCGACGGCACGTCCGGGACCTTCGACGCGATCGTGTTCGCGACCGGGTACGCCCGCGACGTCCCGTTCATGCCGAAACGTTTACGACCGGAGGCGACGGGGCTGTACAAAGGCGTCTTCGCGCCGAGCGACCCTCGCGTCGCGTACGTGCTCTTCGTGCTGCCGTTCGGGTCGCACTTCCAAGGTGCGTTCTACACACTGGTCCCCGTACGACCGCGTTCGCGTGGTGAACGCCGATCCTTAAGGACTTTTCCCGGCGTCTCTCTCCTCCCACCCCTCGGTTTCGATCCCCGGCCTCGACGCCTTTCATCTCCAACTGACGCCTTTCAACTCCACCCCGACGTTCGCTCGTATGGAACGACCCTAAACCCCAAGTCGCGGAGCTCCAAGCGCGGTGGATCGCGATGACGTTCGCGGGCGCGCTCGGCCTCCCGAGCGCGGAGGTCATGGAAGCGCACGCGAGGGACATGGAGGACGAGGGGCACGGGAAGCTCGGGGAGTTCCACCGCGTGCAGTTTTGGCGCCTGTGCCAAAAGCCAAACGCCGTCTTCGACGCGATCAAGTCGTGTATCGCGCGGCCGCGACGCGCGACGAGCGTCGCGTGGGCGCGGTACGCCGCGCCGTTCCAGGAGTGGGACCCGGCGTTCGGCGCGGGGAGTCGCGAAGGCGAAGGCGAAGGCGGCGACGCGCGTCTGACGCGCGGGCAAGCGCGGTTCACGGACGGGGAGTTCGGCGTCCCCGCGTGGGGCGCGTGGAAGTTCGCGTGACGCGAGCGCGTTCGGACGGCGCGCGGCGGCGACTTGATCTTCTCAAAAAACGGTTCGTCGACGCGCGTTTCTTTTCGTCAGTCGTCGTCGTCTCGTCGTCACCGCGCGAGCGACCTCTCCGCGCAGACGCCGCTCTCGCCGCCGCCGCCGTCCTCCCCCCATCCCGGCCACCCGCGCTTCCTCACGTCCCCCGGCAACCCCAACCACGCCGCCGCGATCGCGCCCGACAGCTTCTCGTCGTGCCCGCGGTAGGAGGCGCCCCCCCCGCGCCCCGACTCGGCCGCCGCCGCGTCCGCGAACGCCTTCCCTTCCCGCCTCAGCCGCAGCATCTGCTCCGCGGCCGCGAACGGGTTCTGCCCGCTCGGCGGCGACCCCATGTTCCCGCTCCGCCGCCGCGCCATGATCGCGATGTCCTCCCGCTTGCACCCTTTCATCGCGTACTCCAGCACGGGAAGCTGCGATCGCTTCACCCAATAGATGCACTCCACCGGACACAGCTCGATCGCCACCTGTGTCGTCTCCTCGTCGTCGCCCCACTGCGTGTGGCACCGCGCCCTGCCCGCGTTGAAGTCCTCGACCATCGCGAACGTGTCCGGGGCGTGCAGGACGCAACTCTTGCAACCGATGCACGCTGAGGGTCGAGGGTCCGTACGAGCGAACAGAACGTCGGGGCGGAGTTCAGGGGCGTCAGAAGCGGAGTTGAAAGGCGACGAGGTGTGTCGGGATCGAAAGCGAGGGACCCTGGGCGGAGAGAAACGACCGCCGGGAGAGAAAGTCCTTAAGGATCGGCGTTCACCACGCCGACGCGGTCGTACGGGGACCAGTGTGAGATAGAACGCGCCCGACTCGTCGACGAAGACGGCGCGCGTCTCGAGCGCGTCCCCCGCCCACGCGCTCACCGGCCGCCCGTCGAACGCGCTCCCTCCCGTGGCGCTCTTCCTCGCGCGCTCGACCGCGGCGCGGTACGCGTCGCGCGTCGCGTCGTCCGTCAGCGTCGCGCAGGCGGCGTTGAGAAGGACCGCGAGCGGCGCGGCGAGCTCGCCCGCGACGTCCGGGTGCGCGACGCGTTGGAGCGCTCGAAAGGCGGTCTTGACGTCGTCCGACGTCGCGTCGAGGTCGACGCCGAGGAGCTCGAAGAAGTCGCACGGCGCGGCGTCGAGGTACTTGGCGTCGTCGTCGTCTCCTTGGGAGCCGCCGAGGACGTCGCGGTAGTAATCGCGCGCCTCCGGGCTCAGGACGAGCGCGAAGGAGAGATCCGACGCGGATGCGGAGGGCGCGACGACGCCGCGGCGACGGTTATGTCCTCCTCGAGGACGGTGTCGTCGCGCGACCGCGCGCGGCGACGCCGTCGCCGCCGCGGCCGCGGCGGCGGCGGCGGCGGCGGCCGCGCGCATGACGATGTCCGCGACGTCCGCGTCGCGCGCGCGGGGAGTGACGCGACGCGAGGCGCGCGCGCTCGCGGGACCGTCCGATGAGTCAGCAGCAGCACCGTGGCCGTGAATCGCGGCCCGTTCACGAACATCAGCGACGCGGTCACTCACATCGCCCCGCGCCCTCGGAGATGGGCTGCACGACGTCTCAGGGCGGGACGACGTCCACGCCGGCGGGCGAATCTCCGCGCGTGAGGAACACGCCGAAGCAAGGCGCGTCGCGACGCGCGCGCATCCCTCGCCGCCCGGCGTCGGCGTCGCGCGGTCGTCGCCGCGGCTCTGCAAGCGGTATCCTCTCCTCTCGCGTCAGTAGACTAATCATTTTCCGACAATCGATCGCCCGTCCCCTCCTCCGCAGGCGGCGTCGTGGACTACAAAGAAGCGCACAGCGCGATCCGATGGAACAAGATCGACGTCGTCCGAGCCATCGTCGTCGACGCCGAGGACGCGAACGCGACGGACCCGAACAACGGGAACCGATGCCTCCACGTCGCCGCGCAAAACGGACACTCGGAGCTCGTGAGACGCCTCCTCGACCTCGGCGCGGATCCCTCCGCGGCGAACGCGCAGGGGCAGACGCCGATGCACATGACCGTCTCGTACGACATCGCGGACTGTACGAAGCTGCTTTTACGCGCGGGCGCGGATCCGGACGCGAGGAACGACGCCGGGCACGCGGCGAAGCACGGGCTGGAGGGAGAGATGGATCGCGGCTCCGGCGCGTTCTATCTCACACTGGTCCCCATACGACCGCGTCGGCGTGGTGAACGCCGATCCTTAAGGACTTTTCCCGGCGTTTCTCTCCGCCCACCCCTCGCTTTCAATCCCGACACACCTCGACGCCTTTCAACTCCGCTTCTGACGCCTTTCAACTCCACCCCGACATCGCTTTGAATGATGGAACGGCCCTCAGTCGTCGGCAAGGTGGACGCGTTCAAGCGCGCGAAGGACGCGGAGGCGCTGAGCGAGGCGCTGGACGCGCTGCTGCCGTGCGCGGGCGAGCTGGACAAGGACTCGTTCCCGGGGTTGGGGTTCTCGGTGAAGAAAGGGAACAGAGACGCGTGGAGCGCGGAGGTGCAGGAAAAGTTCGTCGCCGTCGTGCGCGCGATGGGGTGACGGATGTGACTGAACATCTATCGACGGATTAAATTTTGGGGCGATTCGAACGCGACGACGACGAATGACGCGTGGGAGGGACGTCGTCAATTAGAGACGTGTTGTTTGTTTTGTTGTTTTTATTAACCGCGACGTGTTGAGTATTTAAACCATCTCCTCGCTCGCTCGCTCGCGCTCTTTATACAGCCTACGCGGGCGCCCCGCGCCCGCCGCCGCCGCCGCCGCCGCCCTCTTCGTCCGTCGGCCGACGTCGGTCGTTTCGCTTTCATCACTTGTACTGCATGACGCCGAGCTTGTACACCGCGAACGCGACCCCCACCTCGATCGTCGCCGGGAGGAACGAAAACAACGCCGCGAGCCACGGGAACACGTCCAGGTCCCAGTGAAGGAAGCAAAACAGCGCGACGTAGACGGTGCCGAAAAAGTGAAGAAAGATGTACGTCACGTTCGCGCTGTGCACGAAGAGCGACACGCCGCTGAACATGCCGAGGAACTCGACGATGAAGCACGCGATGGAGGTCCACGCGAGCGCCTCGAGCTGCATCTTATCGTCGCTCACCCCGGTGGACGTCCCCGTCGCGCGATACACGGTCATGTCCTGTCGGGACGGAGGGAAGCGCGTCAGGCGGACGGGCGGGAGGGCGGGCGGGCGTTCGTTGTTGACGCGAGAAGAGGGACAGGACGGAAACGCGCGGAGCCGTTTGAATCTCCGCTCGAGCGGCGGGCGGGCGGATCCGCGCGCGGGCTGCGGCGCGCGATGGCCCGCGCCTCGCGCGTCGACGCACCGAGTCGTAGACGATCGTGAGCGTCGCTATGAGGTGCGCCGCGGTCAAGATGAACCGCGTCGGCAGCGTGATGTCCTCCACGCGTCCCATGATGACGACGACGACGTGTCACCGCGCGCCCTTCGCTCGCGCGTCCGTAGTACTCGACCGACGGTGGTGCTTTTCGCCCTCGTCCGATACGCGTCGAA